GCTTAAGAATGAAGTATACAAAACGAAACTAAGAAAAAGATAAATATATAAAAGCGAAGTGTAGTAAAAAATCGATACAACTGTCAATATTTATAAACAAATATTTTTTTTATTAACTCACACACTTTTTTCGTGCGTGAATTTCTGCTATTTTCAATAGTTCTGGGGATTTGTTTTTTATTTTTTTGTTTTACCCGAAGCATTGTTATATGATTGCATTAAATTTTACAGATCGAGCGCGAGAAGGCCGATCTCAGCGTGCAGGTCATTCAGATGTCCGAACGTCTTGAGGAAGCTGAAGGTGGCGCTGAACATCAAGTGAGTGCATCTCGATTACAAAAAAATTATATTTTTACAGCAACTATTATTGTTTTATTTTATTAACATATTTTTCATATGATATTCAACCATAGTTCGAGGCAAATCGCAAGCGTGATACCGAATTATTGAAGCTTCGCAAATTGCTTGAGGATGTCCACCTCGAATCCGAAGAAACTGCCATTCTTCTGAAGAAGAAGCACAACGAAATTATTGCGGATTTCCAAGAACAAGTCGAAATCCTAACGAAAGCGAAGTCCAGGTGAGTGTGTCGTTTGCAGCAAGCCAAGAAAGCAATGAATTAAAGAGAGCTTTAAGCTTGCTTTTTAAAGAGCTTTTTGAATTATTTTTTTTAAGTGACGAGGATAGAACTTAAAACGTGCTTCTTTCATGTGAAAGTTGCTTTTATGAGCTTTAAAATATTTAGAAGACATATATATACTTTTATATACATACTTATATATTGAAGAATTATATGTAATACATTCATATATGTATATAAATACCTACATATGTATATGTCTTCAACTTAACCCATTACACATTACAACGATTGAGCATACACACATACATTTATACATTTGTTGTGAATTCATTGAACTTAACACTAGTTACGCAGCTAAATTGTCGGTCAGCGTGACCTCGTCTGTTCATGCTCGTAATTGGGCTAATATGTCAGTGAGTAAGTCAGCAAAAATCGTTTTGTTTAATGTTTATACAAAATTTTTTTTCATTTTAAATGCCGAAAATTATTTACAGAAAATAAATAATCGAATGCAATGCGCTTGACATACAGTGTGAAAGAAAAGAAAACATACCACATACATATAGATTACAGCAAAGCGTTGAAACCGGTGTTTATCTAAACAGAAAAATCGGTGTGGATATAAAAATGTCTGATATATATATATTAAAATGTGTTGAAATATGCAAGAGAATTATACACATGTGTATGTAATTACTTGTATATTCGTAAATAGTGTATAGCATATAAAAACACCGTTTATGTATGTAGGTGTCGATGTGTAAGCGCAAGCGATTGCGAAAAGTGTTCGTTGAAATCTCATATTTCCAAAATCCAAAAATAAAAGAATTCGTGTCGAAATATTTTTCAAGGCTAGAGATACACACAGTCTCTTATGGTAGAGTGGGAGCATTGCTGCAGCAGTAGCTCACCGCAGCTGCGCACTGTAGACAGTATGTTAGCTGATCTTGCATACTTACTGTGAACTTTGGAAGCTTTTTAGTGAGCTATTAAACTTAAAACTCCGAAATTTTTATTAAAACTACACATTTTGAAAAACTTTCCAAACCAATTTACAACTTATTAAAAAGAAAATATATATACGCTGCATTTTTGCTCATATCCACTATTGCTCGTAGCTGTGTGTGTGCATTTAGCTTTTACCTGTGGTCCTGCGCATCTCCATGTCTAAAAATCGACTTTGTGTGCTTATAACGCAAGCTATTCGGCCCACTCCCACTACTACGGCTCTGCTATGCTATGTTATGCGTCTGCTTATCTGTTAGCTGTTGCGCTTCGTACGCTAGAAAGATCTTCTTTAGGCTAACGAAAGCTTTTGCCACAAAAGCTCTCACCTTAATGACCAATGAGCCACACCGAAAATGTCTACAAAGTTATTTCGCTCTTTGCTTTTCTTGCATATTTTATTTATTGTTTTGTTCTTTACTCAAATGTTCAGCACTTATAGCAAAGAATATAAAAGCAAAAGCATAAATATATACATAAGTTGAGTCGAATAATGCGCGCATTTATTTTTAGATAAAAATTTTGAATTTTGCCTACACATTTTTCCACCTTTTTGCCGCACGGCCCACACAATGTTGCGCCGGTGGTTGTTAGCTGTTTGGCTGGTTCCGCTCAGCTTTTCCGCACTGTCGATCCAAATAAGTCTTTGATTTAGTAAATATTCAACGTGTTATTGTTGTTGTCTCTTTTTGTCAAATTCACCTTTATGGAAATTTGATACTTTTTTTCTTGAATGAAGCAGATGCGCGAATGCCGAGCAAATGAAGAATTTATGAAGTTTTTATTGAACTGCATATGAGCAAGGCCCCTAGTAACAAAGTAACGGTAATTGTTATAAAACTCGAAAATAACATTCTTTAACAAAATTTACACCGAATTTTTTAATAAAATTTAATAAAATTTTTACTAATACATTATGCACCATAATTTATATTTTTCTTTAATTTTAATTTTGAAAATGCGAGCTAGTGACGCATACCGTCACCCATAGTCGATCTTTCAGTTTTATCCGCATCCACAAAGTTTGCACTGAGAAAGCTCTTTCATGCATGTTTTTACTGATAGTTTATGCGCTCCTTTAGAATAAGCAAACAATTTTAACCCCTTACTATCAATCAAAATATGCATAAAATAGCTTTTCAACTTGGCAATGAAAGGAATATAAGTATAGTAGAACAACTTCGGTAGTACCGAAGATTGAATACCCTATGCAGAGAATTTTAATCGATATGATTTACTACTATCCAGACGTAGGCATTTATACCGATTTAGTGAAGAAACAAAGCTTTAAAGCTCAGTATTTTAGCTTTTCGAATAATAAGCCGTTATTTGAAGGGTGGGAGAAGTTATAGTTCTTCAGAAGAGTACAGACCAAAGTGATAGCGACTCGCCTACTCCGACAAATTTAAACTTGGGATATATTTAAAAAAAAAAACAGTCAGTTTGACCTAGAAATTAAAACCTGCAATGCTGTATTGCGTCCTAAACTCGTTAAATATAAATTTTGATAATATACATAATATAAAACACTACTCAAAACCATGTAGTTTAAGATTCAGGCATATTTTCTTAAACTCGTCATAACTCAATTTGTTGGTGTTTAAGGAGATACAACTATACTGTTCAAAAAAAATTTCCCCCGGTTGCGTGTTTATCAGTTTCTATTCTATAAACCCATATTTCCCACATAAAAAATACATATTATAATCAGAGTTTCTCAAAAACTACACAAAGCTTTAAACTTGCATTTATATCGGAACACTTATTAAGATAATATCAGAATTTGGGAGGGAAATGGGAACCTGTCACCTTATCTGTATTTATAAACAGTTTTATATTCCTAACCACACTTTCTTCCGAATAATATTTTGTCTTCTTCATATTCTCTAATAGTAGGGTATAAGCTATAACTACTATTATAATAATTGCATTCGCTTCACTTAAAGATTTTGTATATATGGGTCAATGCAAAACTAAGCTCAGTTATATAGATTACTCCCAGCTTAACACCGCTACATATACAGCCGACTTTAGAGATACCGCTGCCATGCATACTGCTGCTGCCTAAGTATTCTTTGTTTATAAATAAAATTCTAATTTGAAACACTGTCACTTAATTAATTATATTCTCTTGTACTTATATATTTCATTCCTTTCACTGAACTACAAACTAATGCAGGGCTGAAAAGGAGAAATCCAAATTCCAGGCCGAAGTTTACGAATATCTCTCCCAAATCGAATCATTCAACAAGGAGCGTATTGTCACCAGCAAACATGTCGAACGTTTGGAAATCACCATTTCCGAATTGAATGTCAAGATTGAGGAATTGAACCGCACGGTCATTGATATTACATCGCACAAGACCCGCCTGTCGCAAGAGAACATTGAATTGATCAAGGACGTCCAAGATCTCAAATCCCAACTAGACACTGTCTCATATTCCAAGAGTCAAGTTATCTCGCAATTGGAAGATGCTCGCCGCCGTTTGGAAGATGAAGACCGTCGTCGTTCGATGTTGGAATCTTCCCTTCATCAAGTTGAAAGCGAATTGGAATCGATTCGCATCCAACTCGAAGAAGAATCGGAAGCACGTATTGACTTGGAACGTCAGCTGGTCAAGACCAATGCCGATGCTATTTCCTGGCAAAACAAATACCAGACCGAAGTAGCCGCACGCGCAGAGGAGGTCGAAGAGATCCGTCGTAAATATCAAGTGCGTATCACCGAACTCGAGGAATATGTTGAGACATTGATTGTGAAAATCAATAATTTGGAGAAACAAAAGACTCGCTTGGCCAGCGAGGTGGAAGTGTTGATTATCGATTTGGAGAAATCGAATAACACTTGCCGCGAATTGACCAAATCGGTTAATACCTTGGAGAAGCACAATGTTGAATTGAAGAGCCGTCTCGATGAAACAATTTTATTGTTTGAGACTAGCCAACGTGATTTGAAGAACAAGCAGATTGAATTGCAACGCACCGTGCATGAATTGGACAAAGTCAAGGATGCTAACAACACATTGGCACGTGAGAACAAGAAATTAGGAGGTGAGTACAATGCATTCTAGTGCACCGTCTTACTTTGTTTATATACAACTAATATACAATATATTTATTCTTCGCCGTAGATGATCTCCATGACGCCAAGGCCACACTCAACGAATTGAACCGTCGCTTGCATGAATTGGAATTGGAACTGCGCCGTTTGGAGAACGAACGTGATGAATTGACTGCTGCTTACAGGGAAGCCGAGGCTGTAAGTATTAGCAATTAATCATTCTTGAGGGAAATGTTTCATGTCGTCTTTTTTCTTATACAGGGTCGCAAGGCTGAGGAACAACGCGCTCAACGCTTGTCTGCTGACTTCAATCAATACCGCCATGATGCCGAACGCCGCTTGGCTGAGAAGGATGAGGAAATCGAGGCTATTCGGTAAGTCGCTTAAACTTATCTTTCTAACATTAGTAGTCAATTGTGATTTGGGATTTAGTGTTATTAAAATTATAAAAAATTATGAATATGATTTTGTTCTATAACTATATCTAAACATCTCAAAAATTAGATCAATTCATTTCACTTAGTGGATCAAATGGAGATTAATCAAAAGATTCTGAATAATATCTAACTTATCTCCTCCGTATTCCTTAAAATGATTTAGGTGTAATAAAAATGAAGTATAGGTTTCGAACTTCTAACAATAACTCAAAGAATTCGAAGTATACTCGGATAAAACTACAATAGTCCCAGTCTACTTACCTTGGAGACTTCACCGACTTTCATTCAAAGGAATTTTGTTAACCTTTCGTCATTCATGAAAAAGTAAATTTCTGGGAAAAGGGAGTTTTCTATGTCGGATTTGCAATAGAGCTGTGCATTTGCAGAGAGAGTGGAAAACTATTTCCTTCTTCTCTTCTAGCTTAGAGCTGCGGCAAATATTATTATTGTTTTTAGCGCATGTTCTTCAAACGGCCAGAACCTCGTTATAGTAGCTGTAAGTTTGTATATACTATTTAGTAAGTCCTTAGCTCTATTATTACTATATAAGTCTTGTCATACTTAAGCCATATCTGCTTCGTTATGCAGTTGATTCTCGATTTCCATTTGTCCTGAGCTATTTGTTTACAATGCGTATTCCTCTTTATCGTTTATGGAGGGCATAGTATTAACTACGCCTTGTGTTCATCTAGGGGGGCTCCTAGCTTGGCCAACTCGTCTGCTTGTTTGTTGTCGAAATTGTTCTTATGACCGGGAACCCAAATTATGGACAAGAGAATTTGACCTGTCAGTGAGCTTAAAGTCTTTCTGCAATTATAGACTATGCTGGAATTAAGCTTTGACAATACCGCCTAGTTATCCGTGTATACGGTTGATTTGTGTATCCTCCCGTAGTTATCCGATAGGCCTCCACAGGCTTTCTCTTAGCTTAGTAAGCCTACGCCTACGTAAGCCTGTATCATTTCTGATATGAAAACGGCCCTACTGAACATAGAAGGTAGAGAGCTAGAAGGAGGCGGCTTAGACATTGCATATGGTTTGCGTGTTAGAATTCAGTTGTCCGGTCCTGTCACTATATTTAATTAGATGTGTGTATACCAATCAATTATTTCTCAATTTTCTGGCTTGATTAGTTAAATCAGACATCGAAAAGTGAGCACCACTTCGAAGCTCAGTAGACTCTCATCAACAGTAGCCATTTGTAATATCTTATAGTGATACGAAATCGAAGTGAAAACCTTAAAGGAGGAATATACTTTGCAATAAGACTAGTTAGCCGTGAAGACAGCGATTTAGAATTTTACAGATGACCATTTGAAAAAAAAATAGTGATTGAAACCTTTTTATGAGAACCGAATTCAAATAGTCCGCGAGCTCTTTTTGAGTAAAAGGATTGCCTGTAACATGTCGGCTTTATACATCAAGCAACAAATCAAACAAAAATATTTGTTGTGGTTCAAATTCGGATACTTTATGAAAATATTGTATATACGCTGACATTTTAACCCGGCAAACCTACAACTTCCGCTTGACGAAACGCGAATGTGACGTGTAAGGTCATTGCATCATGAAAAACAGAGGAGTAAAAAACCACAATATTATCACAACGGCAATTTACTTATTTTTGGCACAGAAACTAGCGACACTATCAATGCTAAATAGCTTCCTATAAATTCCTCGGAATAAAGCAATGAAATGCATACAAAATAGCAAAACAAACAACACTTCGTACTAAATCGATACGAATTGATCGATCGAAAGCGGAAAGCAACGCTGTATACTAACTGACCCATTTTGCATCAGTACGATTTACAGAATTGGGGCTAAAGCATCGAATTCAGAAATTTTCGAAAAGTTTCTCAGGAAAACCCTTTTCATAACGGAAAAATCCAATATTGTTATTTCTAAGTATCACCATTGAACGAGAGTTAAATAATCGATCGTGATCTTGTTGAGTAAGTGTGATGTTGGAAGCTTATGAGCTGTGAAAAAATAACCAACTTCTTATGAAACTTGTAGAGCCACAAAGTGAATGTTACACAATCAATTTTACTTGCCTGAGAAATTGAAGGAGTAAAGATCACCGATTAAAGGATAAACAAGACAGCTCGCTGCAAATATCGTGAGAACATTTAGCTGGAAGGTAAATATATGCGAGTTTTCTAAATGGTCTTGAGCTTTGGCTGTCATAGCGCTGAACCCGCTCAGCTCTTAGAGCTCTGAAGTGAAGTCTACGATCATCTCCTCGGAGTGCATAAAGTGTTCCATGCATTATGATAGCTCAAGACAGTCACGACCACGGAGATGTTCAAATTTTATTATATTCTACCTCTGACTTCCTACTAAAGTTAATGCAATGCCAAGCAAAAAAGAATACAAAACTCTCCCAAGTGAACAACGATTACTTAAATACATTAAATCTTTTTATAGATCGCACCAAGTGATCAGCGAATTTTGTGTGGCCAGCGAAAATAAAACCCAGCAACAAGCTCTACGGCCAACTGTGGCGAATGCATAAATCAGCGAGACTCGAAAATCGCGTGAATGTGAATGACGCTCGGAAACGCTGAAGCAGCAACTGTTGGCTAAAGACAAAACTAAAGCGCAAGCAAAAATCGACGCCAAACAGAGACAGCGAAACTAGCGATCGCCTGCATTGCAATATTTCGTGTACTGTGACTGCAGATTGCTCAGCAAATGCTTTTTTATACTGAAATCATTTAAACTAATTGTATTTCAAGTACAAAATATTTCTCATAGACAGTTGTACACTTACTCAAATTCAAAAACAAAACAAACGAGCTAATACAAAGCCAACACGCACTGCCCTAAGTAACACAAATCGCACCGAGCACAACAACGGATCCTTATCTAACATATGCGAATAGCGCTCACCAAACACACATAGTAATCGAAAACGAAACTAAAACACTTGAAAGAGCTGCGTCCCATTTGATCAACAGCGCAGCAGCGGCAGACCCTTACTGCACGCGCTACAAATCGACAAACTCAGTATACGCTTCCCTTGCTACAAATCTAGTTTGCTAACCCGCTACCCCCCTACCCTTTACTCCATCCCAATTGTGGTTATCTGCCCGAGCGTAAAAGAGAAACTATGGCGCTCACATACAGATTGCGTCCCTCGCGTCCCCGCCATTTGGCAACACACGCCTATGAGGACAACTATGGCTACACAATGAACTTCTATCAGCCGATGCTCGATTATTTGGATGCGAAAACAAAGAAACTAAATGTCGACCCGCCGCACTTGCCGTGGTCAAGTGAGCGCGGTCTGCGACAATATCGCCCCTCAAACCCGGTACGTCGCTACGATGCGGACGAAGTATTGCGCCTGTCGCGTGCCTGTGCCCATCGGGCAGATGAAATTTTACTTGATTTTCGTGTTAGGAAGCGTACGCCATTCAGTGTGATAAAACTCGCCGACGCAGCGCGTGTTAACAGGCATATTGAACCCGATACGGTAGTAGAACGCTCGCGTGAACGTCGTCGTCGTCGTCAACAGGATTTAGAGGATCTAATACGTCAAGACACTATAAAAGTATTACAACGTATACGTAGAATGGAGTTGGATAATGATTGTGCCCGCATGACGGACGAATTTAAACGTTCGATTCGTGGCAAATCCGCTACGGCCATAGCACAGGCGCTCATCTCGGAATCTGAGCGTAATATCAAGACTTCGAAACGTGAAGAGGAGGACTTTCTCGCACAGACATTGGTGCGTGCAAGTCGTGCTGCGAGTCGTGTGCGCTCCGGCTCACCGGATGGTCGCATCTCATCGCATGCCTATCATATCGAATTGATGGACGAACGTCTGGTCGATAAGCTCGATCATCGCGTCTCCTCGTCATTGCATAATGTTAAGCGTCAGTTGTCGACACTCAATCAGAAGACGGTCGAATTTTATGCAGACTCCAGGTGTGGCATAGATGATAAGTGTTGGATCTGTCGCAAAGTATTGCGTACACATCCCAAATTGAAGGACTATTCCTATATATATTGGCAACATTATTAATTTGTTTACAAGTTTGGGTATGAGAAAAGAGGGTAGGGTCTAGAGCACGCACAAACTCGAAGAGGGAATTTTGAAATGGTTAAAAATGTGGAGAATTAGTTTGTTAGCAAAATTTAATAGTCGTCAAATTGAGTAAGCATGCTTAGAGGCTGTGTGTTGGAGCGCAAGTTTGGCGAACGCTGCGTAAGTTCTCGAAGTATTAACGGTTCTGGGTAAGGGTTTCCGTTATGCACCAAATCGAACTCCGCACCAATTACGCTATTTACACTGTGACTCATCCGCCAAAAAGTTGCAGACACTTAAAAAAAATACATTTCGAAACAACAAACACTTTACAAATCATACTTTACGCCCCGCCTACCGCCTATATAGCGCGGTATAGTTGCAAATTATTTAACATTCAAATGCATAAAATACCTTTAAGGACGCAGCCGTACACAAACTTACATACATAGTATATACACACACATCTATAAATTTTTAAAAATCACATTAAAGTGCGCATACTTACATACATAAGTACACATTTACGAACATAATTTCTTGCTGTTTTTCAATTAAAATGATTAAATTTTCAATTCAATGCATTTGTCTATTTATTTTCGCAATATTTTCTAACTCATCTATTTTCAAATATTTCTTTTTTTCGCAAAAAATTAACGCAAAAATCGGTAAATCACTTATGCCACAACATATCTGGCTTTGGGATGTGAAAAACAAAAAGAAAAATTTTTGAGTATATACTCGTATTCAGAATTTGCATTTGCCGTATTTTTGGCAACAAGCGCATTGCAGTTTTCAACGCAGAAATTTTAAGAAAAAATTTAAGCAAACAGTTTTTCAAGCATTTTTGTTGTCGTAGTTCCTACAAGCTACAATTTTTTGGGCAGCTTACGTTGAAATACCAAATTTATTTGTTTAAGAAGAAATGGGCTGCAGCGTCTTCATATTTACAACGCAAACAAATGTGTGGTAGAGGAGTAGATCTAGTCGATCGGTCAGTCAGTAAAATTGCTAAGTAAATGAAGATGATGAACGCTGACAGCGCAATCGATCATAGTCGTAATTAACGGAAATGTTTAATAACACAAATTTGGTTATTTATAGGGTCGTTTGTCAATGCAGCTGATTTGCTAATATTTCTGGTTAAATTACTCTTATGTACTAACGTACTTATTTCTTATGAACTGATGGCGTGAAGTATTGAAAAAAACTGAAAATATGTTTTTTGACTGTAATATAAAGGTAATAAATTTAAAAGCATCATAAGTCTACCAATAAGCCGTTAGATTATCTCTAAGGATTGTTGAAAAATTGCCAATATAGAAATTTTTTAGACTGATAAACTTACTAACTTTATAACATCACAAAACAAATTATGCTAAAAATATCCTGGACAATTAAGCTCCAAATATGAAAAAATCTAAAGCAGTAATTGCTAATCTAAGCAAGAACTTTATCTTAAGACAATAGTCTGGATGTTTTATAACATGATAAATGGTGTGGTAATACAATCAATCTGCAACCAAACACTTCTGCAAATCGAATATTTTTGTTTAAAAAATCAGGTAAAGAAACACTGAACATATTATTTCTGATAGCGTAATTAATCACTTAACAAAAATATCTAAAAGCGAATACGCTTTTGGTAATATTTCAGATGATCTCTCACTGAAGCAACTAATCACTAAATTCACTTAGTAGACGTTTTGGAAGATCTAGAAGATTGTTGTAAGATTAGAAAAAAGATTTCGAGTTCAAATCTTAGCTGGAAGAATTTTTAAGTAGTTTGAAATTAGCTTTCAAAGTTAGCAATTTTAAAAACATTTTTAGCTTATCAAAAAAGAAAAAGAAAAAATAGTATAGACTACGACTTTGAATTTCAAAAATACCCATTACTGAAATCCCGAGATATATTTCCAAATTTGCATTTAATTTTAAGTACTGAAAACAATATTTTTTTTACATTCACAATACTAAAAATACTACCAAAATTATTAGTATTTATTTTAAAATAAAAATATTATATATATTTCTGGTTGAAAAGTTGTAGTTTTCAAAAACCACTTAAATATTTCAAAATACCCTTTTTCAATTAAAAAAAGAAGAATTTAATTATAAATTATTTGCTATTAAATTAAAATTAAAAAAAAAATGTAGAAGGAGAACATCTAAATATTTTTGAAATTTAAAAATGTTTAAGAAATTTTTTAAAACTTTTTTCAATTATCGATAAATATTTTCACATTATTTTTTGGAATTTAAATATACGTTTTATATATATTATATTCCAATGTGTCAATACCATCTACTTACTAAATGATCTACACAAACCAATAACATGAATGCAAGTATTTATATAATATTTTAAAACAAAAAGCAAACTTTGCAAAATTTCAATACTAAATGGCACATACAAACATCAAAAAAATTGCAAAACTGCTCGTGCGGTCTTCAGAAACACTTTCAAATTTTTTTTATATTTTAAATTATTTTCAATTGTATTTTGCTGTCCTTCAAAATAACAAATTCTTAAACAAAAAAATTTATTTACGAGTTTTGCAAGCAAAGTGATGCCTCATGACAGTTTCGGACGCAAACATAATAAAATTTGCGCAAATACAGACGATGCGAAAATCAAACGTACACAAATAATAAAAAAGCAAGAAAAAGGTATTTGCAATTAAATAAGTCTATGCAAATGTTTAAGGTAATTTAAAGTAATCACAGACTAAAAGAAATATAGAAGTCGTCTGTCCGGCAAACACATTAGTATGGATTAAAATTTCGTATGAAAAAACAAATAAATAAATAAATGAAAAGGCATATACATATAAATGAAAAACAAGCATTAAAATTTAAAATAATCGCTATAAAATGAAAACTTGCGGAACGGCATGCTTAAGTACATAGATGCAAATGTGTAATTATAAAAATAATAGTGGCAGATATGCCATTTTTTTTAGAATAGTATGCAATTATGTGTTACCTCGTGTATGTAAAAGTAGAAATTCGTTTTTGTTTTAAGAAAGTAGACTAGATTTAGTAGCTTAAGTACTAAAAAACCATTGCAAGCATATAAAGTAATTAAATATGAAAATGTTATAAACAAATTAGAACACAAATTTAAAAATATTATCTAAAAAAGCTTCGACAAAATGTTCCTTTTACCTCCTTATGAATCTTTCGCTCTACTATCGAGCAAATATCCCAAAAAAAAAAAATACACACGACCGAAGCCAACCTAAGTACTAAGTACCAAGCATCCCTGTCCATTTAAGGCATATCACAACACCATTACTACAGTACATTTTAGCTCCCACAGCATATCCCAAATCTGCACAAACTAGTCATCATTGTCGTCGCAATGGCGACCCAAATATCCACATATCGTGGCGGCAATCACCTGTGCAACGTTGCCAAGTAAAAATAACAACCCGAGAACAAACCTGACAACATCAACCATTCTTATGCGGCTGAGTCATTGCAAACCCGATTGAGATAATCTCGATGCAGCATCACAACCTAAATTAAGAAACTTTACAATTGAATTACATAATATTTATTTTGTCCGATTAAATAGCAACATCAATTGCATTAAATACTTAAATACATTGCGAATTACCAGCTAAATTTAGATGGGTGATGCATCAGAGTACTTAAATGTCTGCATTGGCATGCTTGCAGAAGCCTAAGTAACAAATTGGAATGCGAGTAATTGTGACAAGTTCGCTGATTGACTGCATTGGAAACATGTGTATGCACTTTGAGATATTTGTTCACACAAGAATTCGACTCACCTTTGTTCTGGCATTTCATGATACATACTACATACACTTATATATATGTATATGCCGATATACAGCTAATCTCGTTATATTTTTATTGGCTTACACCTTTGAAGTGAATGATACTTTTTTGAACTTTGTGCTTTCGAAGTTTATTGAAGACACTATACATATATTTCATGATTGTAGGTAAAAAGCAAATCAAATATGCAAAAGGATAGCATTATGAGTTGTAAATTCATTATCTAGTTTTGGGAAAAAAAATAATTTCGAAAATTCGAACTTTCGATTTTTTTTTAAATTTGAACTTTTTTATGACTTGCTTCAAAAAATCTCATAATTAAATCATTTAAATTTTGAATATAATTTTTTTTGAATTTCGAACTTCTGAGTATATTTTTAAATTCGAAAATTATTTAACTCGATTTTAAACAATTAGATCTGAATATTATAAATTTTAAATTTCGAAAATTCGAACTTCCGAAAGTTTATTTAAACTATAAAATGATAAGAAGCATCAAATAATTTGAACTACTATATTTTGAATATTGATTTTTTCTTTATTTTCTATTCTTTCTAAAACTTTCTTTTAAACTATGAACTTTACGACTTACCAAAATCATAACTTTCAATTCATCGCGAATAGGATAACTGTCATGACATTTAGAGTAAGCAAAGATTTCAAATTTAAATCAACCTGGCTTTAATTTCTAAAGTACTAAAAGTGGTGTTCAATTTCAAACCAAAATGCCAATTTTTGAGGAATAATTAAAACTACAAACACTAAAATATTTTACATTATTTCTCAAATATCTACTAAATTATTTAAAAACCGAGTCAAATATGACATTGGGTCCCATCGACCCTATGAAGCTTAAAAGATAGTAAAATATGACGTTTACTTAAAACTTAAAAATTCAACTGAAAGCACGCAAGTCCAAAATTTAGAAAAATCAAGTAAAATGGATCGAGTCTGGAGATAAACGGAGTCAACTTAGTATATGCTAGTAAGGAGGTTCCCACTTGAATCACTTAAAAGTGGAGTTCACTCTTTCAACTGTAAAACTCATGTAAATTTAACCATAGAACCATTGTGTCCATTAAAAAATTATATATTTATATATCCTCCGCCCCCTCCCAAAGTGGGTGTAAGAATAACCACACCCCTGACTTAAAAACTATTCCCAATTAACTATTCCCTTGGACAGCAGGGACTAGTATATAAGGCAGAGGGCCAAAATTTTGTTCAAATTATAGTTTATTGCCAATTATCTAGCTGTTTTAGTAAATACTTTACAGTTATGTATAAACTAAGCAGATGGTCTTGAAAGTATGGTCAAGAATAATTACGAAAACGGTACTCATTGTATTTGGTAGCATTAAAAAATAGCTAAAAATGAGGTAATTTATGTGGCGTATCCATATTCTCCAAATCACAAAAGGGATATATTTTTAATTATTTAAATTTTTATCCAAATACATCTTAACTCATGATGCCATATTTGTTTTTTTTTTACCTCCCGTGCAGCAAGCAAACCGCCATCGAAATCGAACAATTGAATGCTCGCGTGGTTGAAGCTGAGACCCGCTTGAAGACCGAAGTACAACGCATCAAGAAGAAGTTGCAGGTGCAAATCACCGAACTGGAAATGTCCTTGGATGTGGCCAACAAGACCAACATCGATTTGCAAAAGGTTATCAAGAAGCAGTCATTGCAATTGACCGAATTGCAGGCACACTACGAGGATGTACAACGCCAGTTGCAGGCCACTTTGGATCAGTACAATGTGGCTCAGCGCCGCTTGGCTGCACTCAACGGTGAACTGGAAGAAGTCCGCTCGCATTTGGACAGCGCTGTGCGTGCTAAGCGCACTGTTGAATTGCAGTACGAGGAGGCGCAGACCCGCATCAATGAACTGAGCACCGTCAACGTCAACTTGGTGTCGTTGAAGTCGAAATTGGAGCAAGAATTGTCGGTTGTCGCCGCTGACTACGAGGAAGTCACCAAAGAATTGAGAATCAGCGATGAGCGCTACCAGAAGGTTCAGGTTAGTAGCAAACAAAACACGTACTCATTACAAAAAGATGAATTGAGACTATAAAAAAATATAACATTCTGTTAGATTGAACTGAAGCGCACCATTGAAATTGTTCACGAGGAACAAGAACGTGTCGTCAAATTGGAAACTATCAAGAAGTCTCTGGAAGTCGAAGTCAAGGTATGACAAAGTGTAATTTTTCTTAAAAGATTGGAATAACATAACTTCTTTCGAACGCCTAGAACTTGTCCATCCGTTTGGAAGAGGTTGAGCTGAACGCTGTGGCCGGTAGCAAGCGCATCATCAGCAAGTTGGAGGCCCGCGTACGTGATTTGGAATTGGAATTGGAGGAAGAGAAGAGGAGACACGCCGAAACCATCAAGATTTTGAGAAAGAAGGAACGCACCGTCAAGGAAGTCCTGGTACAATGCGAAGAGGACCAGAAGAACATCATTTTGTTGCAGGAAGCTTTGGACAAATCGGTTGCCAAGGTTAACTTGTTCAAGCGTCAATTGGCCGAACAGGTAACATACTCATATTCAGTTGTAGTTAAATAAAATTGGTAAAAAATAAATATAGGGTATTGTTGGTATGCTAATTAGTTGCCGAATTTATGAAAAAAAGTTAAATAAAATAAATGTTTATGGTTGCATTTTTTTATACTTGCTTTATTATGCATTTTTTCGAAAAGGTTTTGAGGGCTTTCTTTCGCTGGAAGAACTTTTTCTTTTTAAATTTTCTGAAATGTACAAAGCTTTAGCTAAACTTTTCCTATATTGGACAATGTCCAGCTCGTTCTTTAAAGTAAACTGTCAACTCCGCTTTTATAGACTAACTTAATAAGAAAGTCGATGCCCTTATATTAGTTCAACACGAAGGTAGTCTTTATCGTTTTATATATTTGAACTTACGAGTTTATTTGAGCTCTCAGAAGTCTTCTTCTAACAACTGTTAGCGCATGAATGTCTAATACTTAAAACTCAGGTACTAAAAATCAAGGAACAGTTCGTATAGAAATTATTTCTATGTCTGACTTTAACTGAGTCGCAGAGCCCCATTTAGTATATTTCGTTATAAAACTTTGCTGTCTTCCTTAATATCCTTAAAACTAAAATTTTAGCACTGTCATTAACTTGCACATTTTTACTTCTTCTTCCCTGTATAACCACCTCCAGGAGGGCATGTCTCAACAGTCCGTGACCCGCGTTCGCCGTTTCCAACGTGAACTCGAAGCTGCCGAAGATCGTGCCGACTGCGCCGAAACCAATTTGAACATGATCCGCGCTAAGCATCGCACATTCGTCACCACCTCCACCGTTCCCGGCTCCCAGGTTTACATTCAGGAGACAACAAGAACGATCACCGAATAAGTTATTCGCACAAAACTAAAATAAAATAAATTAAAAAACAAAACATAAACCAAATCAACTGAACATTTTTATTATAACAACCACAATCAAAAAGAAAAGGACCAACAACAACGACAACACCTTCGGTCTTCAAGCCGCTTATAAGCCTACAATTATGCTACCAAGACGGTCCCGTAAACTCCGCAATGTAGCAGTTCATGTATTTTTAATTAATTAAATGAACAACAAATAAATTATCTAAACTAAACTATGTCCTATTTAATTTACAATTAATTTTTGTTACCACTCAAATTTTTTGTTAAAAGAGAATTAAAAAAAAGATTCACAAAAAAAACATTAAAAATATTTATAGAATATATTGAAATTTTTCTAAAAATAAATTTAAGCTATCCCATTAATACGAGCGAGAGAGAGAGCGCGCAAAACAAAAAAATACGAAAAAGAATTAAAAGCGTTTCCTTTCGAAAATTGTCAGACACACACATACATACATACTCAAATATGTATTAACTGTTGCTGTAGCGATTTTTAGGTTAAATTTATTATGAAACACAAGTTAAAAAAAAGAAAATTTATTCTAAAAACAAAAACTCAACTAACGAATACTGCGTTTATTTTTCTAATGCGAAAAACATTTGTAAAATGTATGGGAAAATAAAATACGAACGAAATTTAAGTCAACAAAAACAAAAAATACAACAAATTTCGACATAAATTCGTTTTCTATTTTGATATGGCAACGCTCCAGGTCAAACTTGCACGCATATACACACATGTAGATGTGTGTAGTTTAGAAAAATTCGCCTGCAGTAAGTCGCTTAAAGCTTCAAATTGTAGAAAACAACAAAAACAAGTTCGGCTTTCATCTCGTTATTCGTTCAGAAATGAATTTATTTTCGAGCTTTGCTTACATACACAAATCAATAATACCGATAATCATTGCTTGAATGCACTAATGAATTACTTTGTTTAATAAAAACGATTGTTATTACATTTAAAAAATATATATTCATAAATATATTTACATAAATTCATTAATTAATTGCATACATACATACATAAATAGTTAGCGCAGTACTACAAAGAATAACGTCATTTTGTTCATGATTTTATTATATACTAATAATGATTATTGTATTTATATTGAAATGCTTTAGTAATACAGTACCATTACAAACATACATACATACACACATACATATATAAACCATTACTTATATAATTAAATGAAATAATGAAATAAATACTTAAAATAAATTAATAAACTGAAATAACAAATTTACTAAATGGGTCACGGCGTTTTCATGCTCATCGCAAAAAAGCTACTTGATTCATGCGAAAAAAAATTGTTTAGCAAGCAAAAATATTAACGGTTTTTATTACTCATATACCATATAATATGAACGAAACCAAAGCAATGCTTTCGTTATATATGAAAATAACGGGGTTTGCATTAAGTGGTTTCGAAATACAGGGTTGTACTTCGACAATTTTGAAATTTCGCAAGAAACCCTATATAATGTGCCTTTAGCAGTCTAGAATTGAGAAAATTAACCGCCGTTTTAAAAACAGATGACTGTTCTCAAAATTTGCAAAAGGTAAAAGGCTGAATATAAGAGTAACTTCTTTTGAAACTTATATTTCTTCAACTTTATAACACGATCTAAAGGAAATAAACTCGAGCTTAATTTTTTAATACTAGATAATTTCATTTTCTTTATTTTTAATTTCGAAAGATTGTGAACGGGGAGTTATATGGGTTTCGAAATAATTTTATTTCCAGTTTTTGCATATAAAGCTCGTTTTAGTTTTGATAGGGGCTATTTTATATCCTAATATTTAATATTTAGGTTTCTATAGTTAACTTAAGTAGCAAAACCTCGCATATGGGATACATGACCCATAATACAGATTATCAGATCTTTTCAATGGACTTGATCCAATAAGGGAAGGGAGGGAAGAGAGAAATAAAACTCGGTAATGTTTTTAAATTATTATATTAAAATAGCTTGAGCACGGAAATATTCCCGGCTCTTTCCAGTAAATTTATGCAATCTATAAGGTTGAGTATAGAAATATTTTCATCATTTTCTAATAAATTATCAGATTCAACAAAAATATATAAATATCTTTTTTTCTTACAGTTGAACATACGAAAATCTAAACCATAGAGATATATTGTATATTTTTCAGAAACCCTCAGGTTCAAACTTTTACAGAATAACTTTAAACGTTTAAGTAAAATTAATTCTCGACATATTTTACAGATAATAGTTAATAATAGGGCTTGAACCTCAAAAAAATTCCAATTACCTCTGCCCTATTCTGGTTTGGAGAGTTTTATATCGCAATGAGATAAATGCCTTCTCATCGCTGTAGCTGCTCTTAGTCTTCTAAGCATACTTTCTTTTACGTTCATGCTCGAATGAAATATGGCTGCTAATGGTTTCTTATCTTGTCATCTTTTTATCAATAAAGCATTATATGTTTCGTTCTTTACTAATATATTTAGGGTTTATACGAAGCCAGAAATTGCTAATGGTTTCAAAGTAGAGTAAAATCTGTTCAATCAAATTTTAACTAGCATAAAAGGCTCTACAAAGTTCTTTATCTTGATCAGTCAGTTATGTAAGGCAGCTATATGCTATAGTGGACCGATAGCGTCGATTTCGGCAAATAAGCTGGTTCTTGGAGAGAAAAGGGAATATGCAAAGCTTCCCATCGATATCTGAAAAACGCATATATACAGACAGACGGACTTAGATAAGTTGATTATAGTAGATGTTCTTTCCAACCATTCTTTTACAAAACAAATACTTGCAATTCTCTAGGAACATTAGAGACATTTTTAATCGGGTGTGGAACTAAACTTTTGAAGTCAAATGTGTGGTTAAATAAAGAGTAAAGATTGAGCAATATAACTATCAAACATCATTACATTAAACAAGCATCTATTCTCATCGACATCAATTCACCACAAAACCAATGAAAAGAATGCTTAAAATAAAGAAAATAAAATTTTAACGGCAAGGGCATTTTTTAATGCCATTTTAACTATAAATTTTGATATACCAAAATAACTAAAATCCAACAAGTAGTAAAAATAAAATACCGTTTTCCACTTAAAAATTAATAGATTTATTATCAAGCTAGTTTTAGTATTAAGGCTTCAGTCACAATAATTTAAATTCGCTTTTTAAGCGCGACCATCTTAGATTGCCGCAACACCGATCGAGCTTTCACCGACATATTTGATTTTGCCATAAGAGTCTTTCAAGAAAGCTGTAAGTAAAACGAAAGTAAGATTAGTAAAACTTAGTAATAAAAGTAATATAAAAATGTTCAATTAAAATATCGCATGTGAAAAGAGGCCGCTCGAACGCCCTAACACTTTTCGTCAAAGCCAAATTCACAAAATTTTCACTTACCGGGATCGATTTTTCCGACAAAACTGCGTGGTGGCAGCGCGGCAGAGAACAACGAAGTCAATGGTCCGTATTTCTTCACCAACAATGGATAGCCGATTTCGTAGCCGTACAAGTTTAACAGATCCCATTTCAGGGCGTTGATTTTAGCAGCGGTCGCCTTTGCGCCGGCGGCATTCGTCAAAGCGGCAGCTTGAGCTTCTGCACTGGCGGGCAATGTAATAGCAGCATCGCCGCCATATGACGAGGATGGTGCCGGTGCAGCGATGTCGTAATGCGACGCCCACGCGGACGTGCACAAACACACAGCCATGATCACGAAGCAAACCATGAAGCGAAACATTTTTGTACTATTTATTTTTAGGTAATTTCTCGTTGTTCCGAACAATGTCTTCTAATGCGTGGTTTTTGCGCTGCAAATGGTTAACTAATGCGGCGTCATTGACACAGTTTTGCTTTTATAGCGAGTACTTGAAAAATCGGCGAGTTGCGTGCCACCTTACGTGACTATATCTAGAAATTCGAGCGTCTGCTTAACCGCACCAAACACCAGCTGGCTTGGCTTGCTAAACCCACCATAGATTAAAGTCCGAACAGTTGACTACTGCTAAATTTGCGAATGCTGCTGAGCAGTATTGTTTTCTGAAGCATTCTATAGCGTGTTAGGTGCACGACGATAATTTTCTACTTCGCGGCGGAGTATTGATTACTCACAAAAAAATTGCAGAATAGTTTAGTTATGTTTATGTTCTTTTTCGTTTCGATTTGGAAAGGGGGTGTTGTAGTAAGACGATACTGCGGAATTACTAAGAATACAAATTTTATTTTCGTATTTCATGTAGCAATAACACAGACGGCTGAAAGCTGACTTAGTTACTATGGCTCTATTTACGGACATATTAAAAATGTATATGGTTCAGATTTCTTAAGAACAACTGAATCTTTTATGCTATTTAGTACTTTTTGAAAACCCAACCTTCGAAAACTCTTTCGTAAAATCATTCAACTTTAGGTTGACTCTTTATTCATAGCATTTGTAGTAATATGTCTCAATATGATTAGTACTAAGGTACTATATACGTACAAAAATTCATATAACCGTATATTCTTATAAATATCTCTATTTTCTATTTAAGCTTTAAGAAAGATTAAAGAAAGGAGCGACAGAAACGGTCTGTCTTGAACTTGCCTTCGATGGAATTTCATTTTATACACTCGATCCGAATGAGAAAATACTTCTTAGCATTTTGATATTAAAGTAAGGTATCAAACGACCATGCCTTTGAGTTTCTATTCGCTAATCTTCATTCGCTGTTTGGTTAAGCTTTTCTTGTGGTTTACATTGTTCACCTTGGAGTAACAAAATTTAAGCTGTCACCAACGATGAATGAATTTTAGTGGTCTATGAAATAGACTTTAATTTGGATCAAGCGTGGAATAAGTTAAGAGATAGATGAAAAACATGCGCCCAATATAAAAATGTTAATTGAATCCAGCATACGAACGAGAGCTATTGGAGAAAAATATCGCTTGAGAGAATGGGCTTCTGTGAACTAAATGAGAACACCGATCATTCAATAATAGTTACACGAATATATAATAAATAATAATTAGTATAGAAAATTCACTGTTGAATAGAATTTCTGGTAGGGAGCGCTATTTGTTACAACAACGCCTACAACCTATAAATCGATCTCATTAACGCACTTGAGTTATAGATGAAGTTAATTTCGACACTTGGTTACTTACCATATACAAAAAAATGCATAAAACCGGTATTGCTATGTGACACTTATTAAGTGAAGGCCCATGAGGTTGAGCTCACATAACTGAACTTTTACTTCTGTTCAGAGTTCTTACATCTACAAAAGAAATAAGAATTACTAAGCAAACTGTATATATAATACATATTTTGGTTCTAGTGTAGCAGTCTGTTGTGTTTTATATGATTCGGGACTATACATCGTGGGAGTAGGAGGGTTGCGCCTTCAGTTTTTAGCTAAGACTACAAAGAACTCCACAATCTTTAATCGGATTCTTCTTCTAACAACAAAAAATTTCGAAAATCGTCTACACTATAAGATCTAGACATCTAGATGTTTCTAAAGAAAAAATATCACAATAAATTGTTTTTGGGAGGGACATAAACTTATAACGCTTCAAAAGCATCTTCTGAAGGCTATAGACACGGGACTTTTCGTTAGATCTAGCATTTTATATTTTCCATTTGCTGAACGAAATAGTGGCGGTTAACAGACAACTGGTTACCGCGACTAGTCTTAACAGCACAGATATTCTTTGCGGAAACTTCGGTCGACTAACCTCTATAGCGACTAAACATGAAGAAAAAGAGTTTCAAAAAATCCGAAAATCAACTCTAACACTTTCACCCATCCCAAAATATTTTGCACAAAAACCATTTCAATTCAACTTAAAAACAAAGTATTTATTAGCCAAAAAACAAATATATCAAAACATGTTCCAAACATTTATCAAACAATTATTTACACAAAACGTTTTCTAACAAAAATTTTTAATTTAGAATTTTTTAACTGGCCGCAGGCACACAAATTAGTGCTACTAAATAAATTTACCGCTGAGTTAACATTAATAGCTTGAACCACCATATGAGCTGATAGAGCTACCATAACCATATGAACCAGCCTTCTCAGGCACATACAAATTGGCGACGGGACCAGAGGCAGCAACTGGAAGGGTTACGGTGCTGTATTTAACGGGAGTTTGGTAGGTTTTGTAGCTGGTCTTGCCAGGGTTGAGCTGGGTAACAGTAGCTGGGAGGACGGTATAACGGGGAGCGGCAGCAGCACTACCACCATATCCATAAGATGAAGCACCATAACCAGATGATGCTGGAGCGTAGTGGGCATAGCTTGCTACTGGTGCATGAGCGGCATAAGTAGCGACTTTAGCAGGGGCTGCATAGCTTGCTGCTGGAGCAGAATAACTAGCGACTGGAGCGGGTGCGGAATAACTGGAAGCTGGAGCGGGAGCAGAATAACTGATAGATGGTGCTTCATTCACATAAAGAGCAGGACTAGCTGCGGCACCATAACCATCTGAGGATGGAGCCGGAGCTGGCGCAGCACTGTAGCTCGAAGAAATCACGTGACCGGCAGTTGGTGCTGAGGCGGATACAACATATTTAGCGTGGGAATACGAAGCAGAATCGTGGCCATGGGCAGCTGGAGCTGGCGCATTCAAATATTTCTCAATCGCATCGATATTCACCAATTTGGCGAGACCAGCCAAACTAACCTGCTGCACCGTATGAGCGCCGGCGCTGGCGCCACCACTATAATCAGCACTGGGTGCTGGAGCAGCACCATAGTATGACCCCGATTTTTCATAAGGATGTGCCACAGCAACGGAGGCGAAAAGCGCCAAAGAAAGACACTGTAAAAAACACAAACAGAAATAAGGCGCTCATTAGTGTCCAGTCGGCAATGTCTAGCTAGAATAACGGAAGTATTTAGAGAGTTGTTTTGAGGCCGCATACAACCTCAATAGCACTAAAAAAAACTTACCATGAACTGTTTCATATTGCTGTGCATTGTGTGTGGATGGTTCGCGTTTGCTGAAACTTCTTTGGCTTCTTCCACAATTGGTACTAATAACTAAAATTAAAGCAGCACACTTCTTTTTATAAGCAAACAAAAATCGGAAAACGCTAAACGTGATTTCAAATCGTAAAAACCCATAAACAAATATTTCACGCGGCAACAAATAGCTATTGAAAGTGTTCTGCAAAACGTCTACCGTTATGTGTAACAAGAACAAAAACAAAGCAATATTGAGATACAACGATTGTCTAAAAAAAAATTCAGCGAGTGGTATTCTTGAGCTCAGCTTAACTCTTCTACAGCTGCACAATCACGGCGTGGTATATTTATTTGTAATTGTGCAACGTCTACACTATAATTGGGGGAGGGACGCGTAGTTTGCGGTTGATCATATAGCATGTCAGAGCTTTGAGTAGTACTAGGTACCGCAAACTACGCCAATTTGAAGCTCTGGTGATGACATGAAGCGAAGATAAATTCGCCATTTGTTGGCGGCGACTATCGTAGAGTATAAAGTTTAATAAACTCACACAACTAACTGTTTAGGTAATTGTATAACTATGACGCTAAGAGCATCATTGCTTAAAAATAGAACACTTGCTTGAAAATGGCACTTTCTTATCACCTGATAAAAGGTTGCACTTTGAACTCTGCAATTCTTGATGGGAACGAAATGGTAATTAAAATTATGACAACTTACATGATTACACACTATTCTTCAACTAAATATATCTGCGTATGCACTATCTCGAGCTTTTTTCGAAATAGATTTCTCTAACATTTACAGCGATTGCATTATAATTAAAATTTTGCCGTAAAATAACCTGAACTTGACGAGAATAGCACTAAAGTCCGCTCCACTTGCATTTTAATTTTTGTAAAAATAAAGAGTGCCCGAGACTGGATCAGAGAGTTATTTAATCGAAAAACAAATACTTAAGTGATGTAGACTAAGTATATTGCGATGTGATCGCATTCAATATTCTGGACGCTTTCAGTTCGTGACTCTTTTCTGTGCATTCTAAACTTCATATACTTCAAAACCTTGTCATAAAATATACGATGATATTTAAGTATGATCCACTACTGGCAGGGCACAATAGACCATAGGTCACGGTGCATACCTCTTTTCATTCTGTCTATTCTATGATCCACTACTTATCAAAGCCTGTGTTTGCCGTTGACTTCATTTTGAAATTATATCTTCTGTAATATTATATAAACTTCTGATCCCACAAAACTTCGTTTTAAAATGTCCGATAATATTTATCAGTTTAAACTTGTCAAAAGATTTACTTAAGATTATTTAATTTTGATTACAGTTTTCTTCCATAGTGAAATTTGAAATTGTTGCCAACGACTGTACGATGATGTGAACTCCAAAGTTAATATTGAAATTAAGTAAACTTATATTTGCCACCACCACTTCGGAATGAGGATTGAAGATAATTTTTTAACAGTTAAAAAAATTTAGTATTTTCGCAGTCGTCTTTCTGCAAATGAGCAACCTCTATACGTACTTCCGCTATGCATATTACTTCTATATCATCGTTCGATTAGAACAACTTTGGGGATTTGAACACGGTTAAGTTTTTGAGGATCCCATTAGTTCTTAGCAGTAAGCAATTGAGGAAAATTGTTTATCATTATCATACCGATATCAAAAGTCCGTTTTACCTAAACCTGTGAATTACAGTGACAGTTATTATTTCAAAAAATTTGCAGTGTCAATAATCCCTGTGGTAAAAAAAAGCCAGTACGATATACTTGTATATACAATATAAAAACAAAGTCACTCAATCGCGGTGGCGATAAAAACATATAAATTGTTAATCGATCTTATACGAATGAGAGGATATAAGATCAAATGGATATGGATTAAAGATCAAATTTTCTCCTCAAAATATAACCATTTATCATGCGTCCATTCGCCAGACCTACCTCAATACAAACTGACTTGTTTGATCATGATTAGCGTTGTTTAACTATTATATACAGAATACTTATTTTAAGGGGACTAGCGGTTGTTGTTGAGGATAAAATTTATATTCGAAAAAATCGAGCACGTACTTTTCCTCCATGACAACCTTAAGATCCTTTAAATTTCACCGATATTATTCTACTCTGACTGGCTTCAAATTAAGCCTCGAAGGAGGAATTGCGTCAAAAATCATCGAGAAAAAGTTGTTGTTTCTAGAACTAGAAACCCAACCAATCGAATATTGTAAGCGGAATAATATACTACTTATAATAATAAAAATAAAACAAACTCATTTTGATTAATTAAGGAATTTGCTCTTCGAGCGTGTATTTAATGATAATTTTTCTTCCTTGCATTTAAGATGTCTACAGCCAATATGAAGTCAATTAGTAACTGGCCGCATGAGAGCTATAGCCCTGACTGCCATAACCCTTATGGTAGCTGTCACCAGCATGGTGCGCAGCCGGCACATCGTGTTCGGGTCCCACAATATTGGGCACTTTATAGGAGGGCACAATCAATAGCTTGTAGGAACCAGCATGTAATGGCACATTAGCAGAAGCCGCAGCAGCGATGGCACTTGGACGCGATGAGATGCCAATCAACGATGATTTCGTGCCAGATCCTGAGATAGATTTAGCATTGACGGGGGATAGCACTGGACCCGCTGCACTAGCTGGCGATATATTCCAAGCCGATGGTGCAGGAATGTTATACAAGACGGTGGGTTCATGTGACACAATTACATCGCCGCTGCGATGATAATATGAAGCAGCTGGTGCACCGTAACCGCCACTGCCATAAGGAAGAGCATGCGCGAGTGCCAGCACAGACAAGAAAGCACACTGTGACAAGTAAAGAATGGCAAAATATTTCAGTTAATTTGTTTGTAGGAAAAATTGAAATTTTACGAGAGTACTTACGATGAAACGTTGCATTTTGGCAGATGTTGTGTTTGGTTTTTTACCGCCGCAATAACATAGACTACTAGTGGGCAATAGTATTTCAAATGCTTTTTATATGCCGGAGCCGAAAAATCGCTGCTAACCGTCCAGCCATTGGCGCAGCTGTTACGTGACACATTCAATGCAAATTCTAGCAACGCCGCCTAGGGGCCGTGAAGATTACCGCCATGGTTGTAGTATTGTAGACAGCATGATGTTATTAGCCGTCAGTTTCAATGGGAGTTTCAGCAAATTAATTTATGTCGCGCTGCGAATTGCTTACACGTCTGGGAGACTGATAAATTTCGCTTACATTGGTAGTTCGAGCGGTTTTGCAACCAAATACTGTATCATTTACATATGTCAACCAAGCGAAAAATTTTTGCGCACTCAATTAAAAAGTTCTAGTTAGTGAATGAACAGTTAAGCGAAAATTCTTAATTGTGTTTATTTAAGTAGAAAAGTTTTTTAAATTAAATGCTTTGAGAATTTTTACGAATTTTTACATAAATCACAAGGTTGCACTCAAAGTTTGAGTGTCTTTTGTAAAAAGGTTTTGCAAACTGAAAATATTCCAGAATAGTTAGATGAGCAAAACAATATATTAATTTTGAACTAAATATTTGTTCAGAGGGAATCCTTACCGCACCCACTAAGATGAGAGCGCCATACGGATGGATATGGAGCTTTGCGTATTCTCTTTTTATGGTATAAATTAGAAATTTTTAAGATCGACTTGAATTATGTTAATTGCTGATACAATCCCATGAAGCTCCAAGTTTGGCGCTCAAGTTCTTCTGTTTCAGGCTCGAATATATCAGATCCTATTTTGTATAGCTCGACAAGCATATGGTCTCTAAATAAACCTATTGAAATACATATATTTTCCAACACCAAAATCTTAAAATATAATTTCGAGACACGTGGATTAATAACTATGATTACAGAGAAATTTGAAAATTACAGAAGAAGAAACCGATCGCGCCTGATACATACAAATCTCCAAGTTTTCTTCTAGAATGGAAAAGCTTTGCCGAATAGCTGCTCAAAAGCCCTCTATATTTTTTATACTCCTTTATTTATTATTGATTTTATATGTTATCTCAGCACTTTACATAAATTATGGTGGCTATTTACCCTAATATAATATGGCATACTAGATCTAGTATACCGATATAGAAGGTATGTTTTAGCAACTAATTTCCATCAAACAGACACGGGCCTTTTCTTACAATTAAATTCAAAACTACGGAATCTGCTTAATTTACTGGAGTTTAAGGACGAATAAATTGTTGTTTAAACAATATAGAATAAACACAGGGAGATAAACATAAGGATAACCTCAATCTAAATTTCAAAATCATCAAAACTTAATATAGAATGTTTGTATTTCTTTGCTTCCAGCAGACTATTAAAGATAAACAATTAATTTAAATAGAGATATCTCGAATAAAAGCTATTGTTCAATCGGAAAGTTATGTTCTTATCTCCAAATTGAATATTCGATTCAATTACAGCTTCATATAAATAAAGTTTATTACGTTCAGTTCCATAAAAAGTTTTCAAAAAATAAGTATTGAATTTTATATTCTACTTCGAATTATATAAAACGTGGAATAAAAATCGAGTTTTTTTCAGAAATTCTTTGCTCTTAATGTTAAAAAATTTTATTGCCGGCAGTCTTTACAACATTGACTTCAACGCTTGGCATATTCATCAACAGTTTTTACCAGTTTTTGAGTTTATAATATCATATATATATAGTATATACTTGTGTTCTAAATAATTAATCATTCTTAGTGGCTGCTGCTGACAGCGTGCATTACGAATGACGTCATAATAGCACTGTGACGTGTAAAAAAGCTGAGTTCAAATGTGCCGGATATCTATGCTATTGTAAATTATTCGCCAATGTGACCTCAGCAATATGGTATGCTCATAGATTCCGAAGCTTAGTAAACATACTCAAACTCAGTTTCTACAAAAAGTATATGCAAAGAAACGAAACTTAAAACATCATTATCGATATATATGCATTAATATATCGAAATTGTACCATCACTTGACTTAGTATTTGAGTTCCTTACATATAAGTGTATATATGTATGTAGTATGTATATAGTAGCTTCGGATAAATTGTTGTAAGCTCCTTATTATATATGTATTGTCAAAAATGCAACTGGAAAAACTCAATGAAGAGCTTTTATCCGCTCATTAAGACACCCCACAAGTCACTCCGAAAAGAACGTTGTTCATGCTTTTATTCCAATTTCCAACGGACGAGTATATAAACACTAGAAATATCACAAATCTTTTGTTCTTTGTTCGAAATATCGCATTTAATTCATGGATCATTGATCGAACATTTAGTTTTATAAAAAAAATATTCCGTAACTCATAATTTAATAAGCAGCTGCTGCAGCGGGTGCGGAGGCAGCCTTGCTACTGCCTGAGATGTAGCTAACGGCAGCGGCAGCTGATGGATAACGGGCTGCGGCGGGTGCTGATGCGCTATATCCAGCTGAAGCAGGAGCAGCAGCTTTGTAGGCAGCTGGAGCTGGTGCTGGAGCTTGGTAGGCAGCTGGAGCAGGTGCTGGAGCTTGGTAGGTGGCTGGTGCAGGTGCATATACTGGAGCTGCATACTCGACTGTAGCAGGAGCAGGTGCTGCATAGGCGGCCGGAGCTGGAGCTGGAGCAGAGTATGCAACCGGAGCTGGAGCTGGAGCAGAGTATGCAACCGGTGCTGGAGCTGGAGCAGAGTATTCAGCCGCAGAATGAGCTGGCGCAGAGTATGAGCTGCCGCTAGGAGCAATAACATAAGCTAAATTGCCGCCAGTTGCATAAGACCCTTGACCACTGCCAGCAGAAAGACCTGAGATATCAACAAGTGGACCGCCGGCGGATGGCAAGGAGAGAATGAGTTGAGCAGCTTTTTGTGCACTAAGATCACCACGAACGGCAGCCAGCAAACTTTTGATATCAACAGCTGCGCTCGAGGCGCCATAACTGCCCGATGAGCCGCCATAACCACTAGAGGCAGCTCCATAACCGTTCGAGTAGCCACCATAACCGCCCGAGCTACCTCCAGTTGCAGCAATTTTTTGCACTGAAACGGCTGGCAGCAATTGATAGGCCTTTCCAGCGTGCAATGGGACGCCACTTGAGCCATAACCGTGGCTACCACCGCTTACTACGTAACCATTGGCAACGGCGACAATCGCTGCGAACGTGCACTGCAAGGCAAGAAGGAAGAAAATGTTATATATTCAGCGTAATGTATGAGGAATTGCAGGAGTTACTTACAATGAATCTATGCATTATGCGTTATTTTGTTGTTTGATGTTTAGGTTTGAAGATTGAATGAATATGTTTAACAAAATTGTTGTATAGTTTTTATAGCAAATTTAGGGTACGCGACTTATGTCTGTATGGACATTACGTGACCAAACCATTTTGCATTATTCGTCAGGGGTATGTGCGCGCTTCCCGTTGAAAACGTGAAATCTATTTTTGACTACATAATAATATATTAGTAAATACAAATGTATGTATGTTTGAAAGTATTTAGAACGAGGCTCTTCGAATATAACGCACACCGTTCGAAGTTTCACCCATAACCAGTGAATATTTTTAGAACTACTATTTCGAAAAAAAAGTTAGCAAATATTTTAGCGGCTTTAATTTGTTGTTGCTACTCTACCAAATCATTTGAACTGTATTATGAAATAAATAACACTGTGATTAATCGAGGCATTTCACAACGTGAAATATAATATTTCCATATATTAATAGTTACATATGAATTTACATTTGTTTAGTGAGTTTGTTTATGTGTGTTATCTTATACGCATTTCAGTGTGTGTGTGTGTGAAATGTATGCGTGTGATGTGTGTACACAGTTTTTTTAAATAGGAATGGAAAATAGCCCTTTTCCAACTAAAATATGATTGTAGCGGCTTATTACAATAAGAAACCATCGTAGAAATACTTCGAATTCTAATTCCTAGCCTTCTAGTAATTACTAGTATGCGTCTAAACATATCTATTATTTTTAACCATAAAGGTTCCTCAAGATTCAAGATTTTTTTTTATATATTAGCGTTATGTGCGTATACTGAAAGATTTTTTTCATAGAATCGGTAATGTAAAGGGTGCCTTTAAAGGATGACTACTCCACATAGATCTGGTATCGCTAAGGACCAGAACTGGTCTATGCGTGGCTCATTATCCACAGACTAACCTAACCTCAAGACCAGAAAATGTAATTATGAAAAGCCCATCGCAAATAACATGGCCGAAGTCGCGAATCATTTGTTAGTTTTATCTTTTGTCGATAATATCGTCGGTGTACAAATCAATAGCTCCGAAGATGCTCTGTGAGTTTCTAATTTAGATAACTCAAGCATTGGCCGATGTATGCGGCATAAAGTTCACCGAAAGTTCGAAAATCTTTATATTCTTTATATTAGGTATATGGAGGCCTGATTTTATCCATTTTAAACACAAGGATATTTCGCTATTGGGGACAAATTTGCATCATAATTGACGCCTTCGTTATGGCACATTATATAAATTACTATATTAATGTTCCGATAACACCCCAACACCGACATTTTGATGGTACCAATGAATACGTGTATCAAACTTTAAGCTTTTATAACTTTGTTTAAGCTTATATTGAAATGTGGAAACAAGCGTTACCGAAAACATTCTGACAAGTAGAGTCCGTTCAAAAAAAATTTTAATTTTTTGCTTTAGAAAATTTTCGATGTGATTCTAGGTCCTGCTCCATCATCAAGAAGCCATTTTTCCAAATCTATCAATGAATCGATAAACTAACTTATGTATGTATATGTATGAGTATATAACTGAAATCTATTATTTATTAGAATTTAAATCTTTTTCAAATCTAAATCTTTGAAGTTCAAGACTTATCATTCGTATTGGAAAGTGGTGTGAATTAAAAATTTGTAACGATTCTTTGCGGTTTTCAAGTCTATGAACGTTGACAGCCATCACTTCGAACCTTCGATAATTACCGATAACCTTTAAGATTCAACGATTTCTTCAGTTATTAGTGTGATATGCCCATGCTGAAAGACTTTTTTATAGATACAACGACGAAGGCGTAGCAGTCTAATTGCAGAATGTTTAGTTGTATAATATAATATTATATATAAAGTATTTCTTGAGCAGTATAAAATTTTTAAATTTTAAAAATTTAAATACAACAAAAATTTAATTTTGAAATATGCATTTATTGATTAAAAATGTTAATATTTATATTCATAGTCGTCCATAACTCCCTTATATAACATGCTGGGATCATTTTTCAATTTTTTCGAATTATGGACGATAGTGCCGTCGACATCCAAACCAATGGAAACAGAGCGATTACATACATACATATTTTGTAATTATGTTTCCATTAAGCCAGAAAAATATTTGATGAATGCTAATTCGATGATAAAAGGTATGAAAGCAAGTTTCCAATTCACAACGCCAGTTTCGGAAATATGTATGTAAATATATTTCCAGAGTTGTAAAACGTTGTACCAGGGTAAGTCTTTCCATGGCGATTTGCAACAAACTACTGAATCTTAGATTTAATTTGACAGTTGGTTTGACAGCTATCGCACCTGAGAACAGATCCGTTAGATAAAGCTTTATTCTGCTTACCTCACCTCACCTTCACAGTGACGCTTGAAACAAACAACCGCTATAAAAAAAGTGAATACATTAGCTTTAATAAGATTATTTTCACGAATACAGCTAATAAATAATATAAAATATAATTTTCATACTCAATTCATATTTTTGGTTATGAATATTCGTCCCACTGTGCGTAATAGCTTGTCATGAAAAAATGTTCCATTGCATAACAAACAAAACACACAAATATAATATTTGCCGGTGATTTGTAAAATTCTGAGTTCGAGCGCCTACATCTACTTCTGCTGCGTTGGTATGTTTTATATACAAAAAACAAAAAATATGATAAAAAATTGCGCTGCAAAACACAAACTTTATTTATTTTATAAAAATACATATATGTACATATGTAATAAACAAATAAACAAATAAAATTTTAGTTTAAAAAAAGCATGACGTGTTGTTGTAAGTAATAATAACTTTTTTTATTTCAAATTTTCATAACCTCAGCGTTGCGCAATACACACCTTCGGACCGATATAGTCGTGTGTATATTTACGGAAATATCGCTGAAAAAGCAGAGTTCGCAATTAAATCAAGCATTTCGGTCAATGTTATGTCTTCAAGTACATGACCTACTTAGCTAAGCCGGTAAATTGGAGTCTAGAATAAAAGAAATAATGCATTTGGAATAGCAATTTGGTAGCCTACTTTTAGGCATGGGACACCAGGTTTTTGAATAGCCATAAAGCTAGCCAGTCCCCAGCTAATATCAAAGGTATACCGTATCAAGATTAGCGACACGTTCTATCCCACATACGTATATGCGGTTAAGTCTCAACATAAAATTTTATTTGAGGCGAAAACAATTAGTTGGAAATCCGAGCACATTTAGTAGAATTTTCAGTGTCGAAAAAGTGAAACGCTTCGACAAAAATGTTGGGTTTTCGTGTTATTGTAAGTTGAGCACATGTCTTATTTTTGTTTTACATAAAAATATATATATTTATATTATGTGCGTTGCAGCTAATCAAATCTTTACTTGCTGTGCTCTTGGTTATACAATTTGCTTCTAATGCGGATATCATGACCATGTTCAACCGAACTTTTGGCAAAGAATCTTTAAATGAAGACAACTGTGGCTGTGGAAAATAACTGCGGAACGCCTTTAGTTGGAAAACTTATATGTAATAAGTAAAATATTGTTATGATTTTGATTTGTTTAAAATATATGAATTCAATACTCAGTAAGCTTATTGGGGACTTAAACTATTGAAACTTTAGGTACTTGTTTTAATTTTTAATTCAAATTTCCAAAACTCAACATTATTTATTTAATCTTACATAATCAGAGTACAACTGAATGAAAAAGATTTCTTCATTTAACATACCTTTGACAAAAATCATTTCGTCACATCCGAAGCGCTGTTGTAGTTTGCTCATATGTAGTATGTAACTGAGGCAATAACTTAAAGTCTCCATTTAGTCACGACCAGACAGCTACTCAGAATGTACTTGTATTGTTTCTCGTCTGCGAACGAAGATAAATTTGCATTTCGTCTTTGAAAACAGATAAAGTCAATGAATACATATCAAGTCGATGAACATGAAACCGTGGACAGTTTTAGATGATGAGTAACCAATGAGCAATCTGATATCTGTCTCATTAAGAAGCTTGGCTTAATTGTTTTATAATTGAAGCGCCCTCAGCAATAGTTTCAAATTAGTTACAAACGGATTCAATAATTCTTCGCAGTACTCTGAAACGTATACGTTCTACTAATTCGATATGCTTCTCAAGATGAAGGCTCTCGAATAATCACTTTACAATCTTGGCACTAAAATTCTTGTTGGAGAAGATCTTAACGGGCACTCTGCTCAGAAAAAAGTTTGCTATGAATGTCAATCACTTATCAAAATTAATTCCGGCGAGATGGCTACAACCTCAATCTTTACAATTACGACTCTTCTGCCTATTGAAATATTGCTTCAAGCTGCTACGATTCTGGAACATCTATGTAACGATCACTGGGTTGACAGAAAGGTTTGTAATAAATGTCAATCATTTACAAGTATCATTATTAATTATTAATTCCGGCTTGATGGCTAGCATTTTGATCTTTACCGCCAAGAATCCGTTACCTTTTGCAATATAATGTCCAACACCAAATACTTTAGTCCATTCTTCTATGATATACATATGTATGTCGAACTTAACTCGAATAAAATAGGAATAAAATTATAACAAGTAAAGAGCCGTCTCGTTATTTAAGATTGAGAAAGCTTCTCAGACTCTACAAACTATCCCGTTTAAAAGATATTACCAAAAGCGAACAATATAGAATGTAATATACAGTTATTAAGTTGATTTAAAACATTGATCCAATCGTTTTTAATCGAAGACAAAAATTATTTTACTCATATTTTCAAAGTTCGCCGAGAAACTTATAAGAAGTGGAAATAAGCTTAAAATCATGTCTAGCCTCAACAGCACTGTTGAAGTAAAAACGAGACTACGCTAAGCTTAGCAAATGCTAGATTTATGATATCAATTTCTATAACCTGAACAGAGTATATTAAGTTTGTAACACCCATAAGGAAAACTCCGAGGCCCAATGAAATATATGTGCATACATATATGATCAACATGTCCGTCTGTCCATCTCTCTGTATGTCTATCTCTATGTCCGTATCTACGCGAACTAGTCTCTCTATGTATCTTCCAAAGAAGCTGCGCCTTTGTCGAAACAGCTGATATCGATCTATTTCTAAAGGTGCAAACGATGGCCAAGCCAGGATTGACGGTCAGAAAGCTTTTTCTATGGATTTGGTGGGATTGAGGGGGAATCATCTACTATAATCTACTCACATGCAGTTAAACTCTTAACTTGGATCTTTACTGTGAATGGACCGTCTAAAGGAAGCAATCGCCTGGAAGCGGAAAACTTTGGCCGATAGGAGGAACTGTGTTATATCAGGACCACGTCATGCCACACCCATCGATAATGACTCACCAGAAGCTCCGGAAGCTTGATGCATCCTCCTTATAGTCTAGACCTGGTCCCAAGTGATTACTATCTATGAATGACTTTTCTAGTCGAAAATTCAAAAGAAACTTATGAGAATCGACTGTTCCAGTTTTTTGCCAATAGTGACGTGGGTTTCTACGAAAATGTTTACGAAATAAATTTGAAAATAGCAAAAAGTTATCGAACCAAACGGTGACATTTGACCTAAATCGGATCATTATAATTATGCTAAACTTTAATTAAATAAAAAAAAGATTGGATCAAACGACCTCTGTAAGAGTATCATGATATTTAACAACTTGTTTTCCCTTATATCGAGTATTTCTGATTAAAAAATTGATTTAATCGCTAGAGATCTTAATGTAACTAAAGTGGTTACCCTAGTAATTTGTAGTTTTGTATCAAAAATGGATAAGATCGCCTAATCTCAGGATTGTCGTTGCTACACTATTTATTATAAATCTGAGTAGATATCTGGGTTAATATATAATATACTTATTTTCGAGATAATCGTATGTAAGCTTCGGTTCCACCCAAACTTATTTATTGCCACCGTATTTGTTTACTTTCGTATAAAAGATGAAACTTAAAAATAAAGATTACAAAAAATAAAATATATTTAAATTCAAATAAGTTGTAGCATCTAATGAAGAATATACTCAAGTATTTTCCATATATGGTAAAACAATTTATTACTTCGTTAATTAAATTCGACTCTTAGATTTTATCATTATTTAGCAGCCCAATATCGATTGGTATAGATTAATCACCGTGCGTTTTCTCGTCTGTTGCTCTGTGAACAGCTTTCCGGCATAAAAATCAGAGCGATTGGTGAAGAAGTAATAGAGGCAATGAAGAAATCAAAATGCAGCTGCATTCTCTAAGAAATGGAAGTGAGCGAAATTGAAAAAAAACTTGTTGCAGCGCAAAGAATATTAAAATTTTTATAGTCTTACTCGTTAAGCAATATATAACTGATTAGGAGAAGAAAATAGTGATTAAATATAATTTTATGAACTCCAATTTAATCGACAGAATTTATCTGAAAACATAAACCGATGCACCAGATGCAACTTGCCTCACTTGCCACTGCAGTAACGGCATTGCCTACTGCAGGCGTATAAAAGGAGCTGAGCTGCGCACATGCCCACAGTTGACCACATAAAATGGATTATGCAGCATGGTAATATAGGGAATCCAGAGGCACGTGATTCCACTGGTGATGCTGGTCCAGTAGGGGTAATCGGTCCGCAAAGTGCGCTTGGTCCTCACAGACGTCACGGTTCAGCTGGCCAACAGGATGCGCCTGGTTTGCGTGCTAGACGTGGCTTTCCGGGCTCGAATGGACCGGCAAGGCTGCAAGGTTTTATGGGTCCACCCGGTCCACAAGAAACACCGGGTACGTCAGCACATCACATGCAGCATGGCATTTACGCGGAGGATGAAGAAACAGACTACTATGATAATAAGTGAAATGTGAAGAGTAAACTACAAAAATTAATTAATATTAGAATATATTTTTCATAAAATGACAAACTAGCACTGTTTTAATAGTTTAGGTGTTAAAAAAAACTTCTCAACTATTTTATTATTGCTTTCAATGCTGATTTGATGTGAGCACAGGCTAAGACAAATGAGCGCTTGTCACTTATCGTCATTCTTAATCGCTTTGACTCAATGAGCGCGCATAAAATTTATCACCAATACATCGGCTCTGCGGTCAGTGTGCTCTTAATGTCTGACCTAGTTATATTTAAATCATAACAAGCATCAACTATTAATTTATGTCTCATCACATCGGCCACTTTATCACCCATGGCGGCTTGACTCATTTATTCATGAGCTTCCCCGAAGCACTTCACTGGCGACAGTGGTAGATTTTTATCACGTTAGTTAGTAGAAATTGAAGAACGACTAGGTAATAGCCATTAGTATTTGGTGTGCCTCGATATAAAAGCAAGTTCTCGGAGTTAGAAAACAACATAAGCAAAATGAATACCACAAAAGTCATACGAGAACTCGGTAAGTCACTCTACTTCGAAAGTTGTAACGTTTTAACTTGTATCTTATATCTGACCCACAGCTATCCTGCTGCTGCTCACCGCCAGCTCAAGCCCGCTTGTGCATTCGCTGCGCGCCACACCACTGCACTTCGGTGTAGCTCGTAATGCGGACGGTGATGGTAAACTAGTAATCTATGCACAGGATGAACAACCGACCATACAGGAACCGCGTCTCGATGTGAGCGCACAATCTAGTGAAAGCGCCAAGGACACAACAACGACACAAGAAAGCGAACTGGAGAAGGACAGCCGCAAATTGCCCGACTATCTGTACTCGAATGCTATGCCCGTTATGGATGATGAGAGCATAAAATTTATGCTACCAAGTATCGGTTATCCCATTTATACTGGTCCAACACCAAATACAGCCGCCATACTGGACAATCGTCTGACATCGAATGATATGCGTCGTAATTACCCTTACTATGAGACTGCTTTTCAACGTTGGGCGCTAGCTGATCGCTTACAACTCGGCTTCAATTTGAACGGTAATGCTGGTTTAAATTTATTATCGCCTGCTACTAAATTGCCAAATGGTGCCATGAATCAAGAAAATCCTGGTCTACAGCCACCCGCTGCCATATTGCCTGTGGCTGTGGTGGGACCACCAGGTCCACCCGGACCACCTGGACCGCCAGGCCCACGCGGACTAACCGGTGCAACAGGACCCATGGGTAGGCCAGGTCCTCAGGGACGTACTGGCCCAACTGGGCCATCAGGTCCTCCAGGACAGCAAATATCTCATGGTTTAAATCAGAATCCAAACATTTGGTACGCATCTAATGCTAAACCTTTGCTACCGTTATATCAGAATGAAAGTTAGCTTCATAAGCATTGGCAACAGTGAGAAAAAGACACTCAGTAAATACATGCATAAATAAGTAATTTGAAAACAATATTTTTTAATTAATATACTTTTTATAAGGGAATCATAAAAATTAATCTTATGACAAAACTGACTTTTCTCTAGAACGAGCCGAAAAATGGACATTTTCACAGGCACTCATAAGCTACCAAATTTTGGTTCTTTGGAATATCGTGATTCATATTAAAATTATAATGGTTCTTATTATAATTCACATACTATGTTGTGAAAGAATAATATAAAGCCATGACGCTTCGAAGATCTTAAAACCAATTCTTACAAATTCTAGATATGGACGACACTGTCTTTATCTGCTGGTACTTAAAGAGGTCGATCGAAAAAGTTCTTTAAGGAATCTCACTTACTTTCACCTTCGAAAAGTAAGGATACCTCAAAATTCCTCAATTGGATTCAAGTCCGGACTTATTGCTGGCCATTTCAATAAGGGAAAATTTTTCGATCCATGACATCGTATACCTTGAAAAGTGTACAGGAGCATTATCCTGCTGAAATATCCAGCCCTCAACATGAAATTCGCTCTCAAGATAATCTGTATATATTTGCTAATGGGAGACATTCTAAGTGAGCTAAAGGGTGCTTACAGCTAGATTGCCGGGAATGCCTTTGATCACGCTTTTGTGATGCTCATTTGATTGGGATCGTCCTCATCTCTTTACAGACATACTTACTTACATGTGCTTATCCATATTCACTTATGTACACTCAAGCAACACCGCTTTATTTGACCGGAAAAACAATATGCACTTATACAACTTACATATATAGGTATATTTCAACCAAATGGTTCTTTTCATTTAGGCTACAAAGCCGCACTGATTCCTTCAAAAACACTGATTAAACCTTTTATTGATTTTTCTCTAAAGTCTAAACCCAAAAGCCAAGTTTAAGTTCTAGCAAAGGTGTTAAATGACGTGCTTGTACCATATACAGGTTGGTTGAGAAGTTTCTGCGCTCGAAATAAAAAATTACGGTTTTTGGTACGAAATATAACTTTTTATTCAATATAATATTCTTTAACTTCAATACCCTTATTCCAATGATCCTCCAATAATTTTATACTATCCCTATAATGACTTTCCGGAAGCTCTGCAAAATACCCGTCTACGGCTGTAATAGTTTCTTCATGCGACGAAAAACGCTTTCCACGAAGGAATTGCTTCACTTTTTTGAAAAGATAGAAGTCGCTGGGAGCCAAATCTGGCAAATGCGGTGGATGCTCAAGAATTCGTACTTTAATTCGTTGAATTTTGTCATTTTTGGGCTTCAAACCAGGTCTTTTCTCACGAATTTTTTTATCCAGCTAATCCAAAAGGCTGCATTAATATTTACAGTTGATTGTTTTAGCTTTCTGCAGATAATATATCAAAAAAATTCCTTTTGCATCCCAAAAATTGATGCCATAATCTTCTTTGCTGATCGTTATGACTACTTTGGAACTGAACAACCAGCTTCATTCCTCTGGAAACGTTTTTGTTTCAATTTAGGATCATGGTGGTAGATCCAAGTCTCATTCATAGTTATAAAACGACGCAAGAAATTGGAAAGATCGATCCAGTTTTTGTTAAATTGTTCACGTGTGCGGCACTAACTTTTCAAACAGCTTTTTCATATGTAATTCTCCATATAAAATATAAGGTACTCGTTCGTCTAAGATGCCTATGGCATTAGAAATTTCACGCTTAGTTAAATTTGGAGCTTCATTAACAATATTATGAACTTGTTCAATGATTTCTGGTGTGGTTGCGGTTTTTGGTCGTCCTTCGCGTGGATCGTCTTCTAGCCTAGTACGACCACGCTTAAATTCACCAGCCCAACACTCAACGGTGCGTTTTGAAGATGAGGACTCATCATACATTTCTAACAATTGTTCATAAATTTCCTTTGCTTTTAAACCTTTCAAACCAAAGAATCAAATCACTATGTGATATTCAATTTTTTCCATATTAAAAAAAATAGCCTGACACGTCAACTTTAAATGGCTTGTAAACAAAGAATTAATTGACAGAATGAGTTGTAAGTTTGCATGTGTTCTCACGACAGATGTACCAAAAAAATTTGGAGCTAGTAGTGTTATTTATTGGTGAGAGGTGAAACTTTTTAACCAACCTGTATACTCGTATGTTACAGTGCACTCGGTATAACGTGAACGTAATTTTTGCACAGTCTGTTAATATTTTTCAGCTCATTTAATGCCTTTATAAACAACTTACATATGCATCTTCATTCATAGTAATAACTTCATCACTTATGGGTGAATCGTCCTTCTCGTCCTTCATTTAAACAATAAACAAAAACAGTTCCGCAGCAGATTTTTAACCAGTATTTGATTTACAGTCACAATTTATCTTTATTTATTTTTTCTTTATACTCTTGCAACATGTTGCTACAGAGTATAATAGTTTTTTTCACCTAACTGTTGTTTGTATCACCTAAAATTAATCGAGATAGATATAGGGTTATGACGAGAGGAGTAGAAATGCCACATAATGTGGCAACATTTTCATCGAGGAAAAGAAACTCAAATTTCTCGTAAAAAAGTATAACACAATAAAATCATGTGTGGAGAACTCCCATGTATTGCTCAAAGGCCGGATTCAGAAGCCAAGACCACGCAAATCGCGCGTACGGATGCTGCTATAATAAGAATGGTCTAACATTATACACTTAAATCATCGCGGCAGACAGCAGCCATATAAATCAATATCAGCTTAAAAATATTCTTTACGCTTGTGAGAAGACGTTTGAATCAAGCCAGTTGTTCGAGCGCATTTCGTTGAAGAAATCACTCCTTTCAAAAAAAAATATTTCAAAACATTAATCATTCGCCAGAACTATTGGAAAAACGTAAAGTGACGAAACAAAGGTTAACAGGATAGGATCACATGGCAGAATAGTTGTTTATCGTCCTAAGTGCAAGAATATAATCTTAAGTTCACCCAGAAGACGTTAAGGCGTGGTGCCGGAAATATTATGGTTTGGAGAGCAATTGGCATGGTGTAGGTCCGCTCGTAAAAATTGATGGAAAAATGTACAAGTTTCAGTACTTTGACTTTTTAAAAATCCATATAAAATCATACGATTTCGATTGCCAATTACAATAAATAAAAAATTATGCAAGATGCCAAACACGCCTCGAAGTTAGTAAAAAATTGGTTTTCTGCATGGAAGATCGCTATTTTGGATTGGACAGCCCAAAGCCCCTACTAGAATCCAATTGAAAACCTATGGAATGAGTTCAAGGCTGAATCTGAACAAAATTTATAAATATTCCAAGTGAACTAAATATACTTACGCTTTTATATGTAGATATGTACGTAATAGGGGTGTTATTTTCAATGTTACCTCATGTAAATGAAACTGCTAACATTTACGCCTTCTCATTTCCTTAACATTCTCAGCTACAGCGCTGCTTCTGTTAAAAATGTAAACAATGTTAATGTAGTGTTAATCTCGTTCGTTCTCAGGTTTTGTTCCTTGCTTTTATTCTACGTTTTACATTCTACGTACAAACGCTATGAATTTAATTTAATTTTCTATGAAAATTATTAATCAAATATATGATATAAGTGTATACATATAAGTGCATACATATATACGGCTGCAGAATTTATGAAAACACGAGTTTTATTTGTTTCTGTGATAACGCTCATTTTTCATTACAAATTTATAGTTCAACACAGCATTTTTTAAATACAATAACTAATTTATGACTTTTATAATTCTAAATTAATTCTTTAAATTTTGAACTGAAGATTAATATCCACTTGTAAAATCGTAAAATAAGTAGAAAGTTCAATATTTGGAAATTAAATGCATTTTATTTATTGTACTTTAGAAACTAAAAAATTTAACTAAATTTTATGAGCAATAAAAGCAACAAAAAAAAGTTTGTATTACAGTTTACGCTTTATTAGCGCACTAGTTACAGTCAAATGGTACAAAATGAGGTGCGTTAATTAATTAATTAGTAATTCGTTAAAATAATAAAATTAACTTAATACTAATATATGTATTTCATCACGTGGTCTTACCACAATTCTAATTTAATGTTACCACCAGGGTCTCTGCACAAAGCAAAGCTCACGGTCGAATTTAATTCAGTAACGGTGACCATAAGCTTACGTGTTAGAAAATCGAAGTTACTTAAAATTAATAACAACTTAAAGTAAGCGCTGCGAGATTTCATAGCCAGTCATATTGAATATGATTTAATTAAACTTTAATTGTAGCATAATAGCAGTAGATGTTAGCTTAAAGCTTCTCAGCTGCATTTGGCGTGTGTGACTGCTCCAGTTCATTTAGACGCTGCATTAAAGTGACATAGTGCTGCGCCAACTGTTCAACGGACGCGCTTTGCTGCTGCTCAGCTGTCCGTTTGCACGTCAAAGTTGTCATATACATTTTCTTATAAAGTTCTACTAATCTTTTGGGGTCCTTGCCGTTGAGCAACATTTTTATCAATGTTTTCAGAGTGTTTTGCAAACGACTTTCAAATAATAGCATATGCTTGCGGAATTCATCATACGTTGTGCTGCTCTCTGTGGCATTATTTGTGGTTAAGGCACATTCGAACACCACTTTCGACTTGAGACACAAGGTCAAGGCGGCCTGCAAATGTTTGACTTTTTGTGCAATATGCGGCGAAACTGAAATATGCAAAAAAGAAAAAAAGAATATTTATAAAAGAGTGAATAAAAATGAGCATAATATGTATATATTAATTACTTTCAGCTAAGAATTCCTGCAGTGAAATGCGTTCAAGTTGCACAACCAAATAATCGCTAGCTTCGCGCAAGCTATCTAATATAGCAGCGGCACGCTCATAGTGATGCTTGCACAGTTGCAAAGTGGTTTTTGGTATTGACGAGCTGTCAGTGCAGCTATTACGCAATTGGCTATAATGAAATGATGCGATGCTGTAAGGAAAAAGTAAGGTTATAAAGAGTTACATTTTTCGATAATTTATTTTTAAACATTATAAGCAAACGCACCGCTTATGTATTAGACCAGAGCGATAAGTGTAGAGTATTTGTCTAGAGCCAGTATGCTCTAAGTCACACAGCTTGAGTGATTTTTGTAACAACTCCAATACTTGTTTCTCCAATTCAGCGCGTGTAGCCTGTAAAGCACAAAATTTATTTATTTTACATCACTTTTATAAAAAAAAAAACAAATCATAAAAAAAATAATAAAAAAATAATAAAATAATAACAATTATAATAATAATAACAATAATAATAATAATACCAATAATAATAATAATAATAATAACAAGAATAGTAAGTATATTTCATAGTATAGTAAGTATATTTTACCTCATCAGCAGTGCTAAAGTCTTGTAACTGCTTGGCTAAGGTAAACGTCGCAGTTGAAAGTTCCCAATTCACTAAATCCCACAGCTCCGCACTGCATTTTCGTGAGCCCAGCACATCTTTAGCTTTTTCATAATTCGAGAAAGCCTCACTATAGAACATCTTCTGTTTGCGCACAAAGTCAATGCTGCAAAAAATGCATAATTAGTAAAAAAAAAAAAAAAAAAAATGGAAATTAAAACAATAATATGCCTACTTCTCTTCAGGCAGATACAAGTGTGCACGAAAACGCATAAAGCGACCCATGTTGCAATATAAAAATGCCAGATTAACATTGTCCTGCACCTCGTTAAACGCTGAAATGCCGCGTATCAGACAATCATACGATTTCATGGCCAATTTCATATATACTGGTTCCTCAGACTTCTCCGGCGTTTTGTCGTGTTCGGCTTCATCGGTTTGACTTTTATCTGACGTATTAATTTCGGTTGAATCACTATCGTTCGGCGATTTATTTGATTTTTTCTCCATATCTTTTGCAAATTCCTCTAAAAAATTGAGGTGTAAATAATTTATTAAAAAAAATAAAAACTGAATATTTGCGTGCTTACCTTGCGCCCAAAACATGTATTTTAGACCCAGCTCGTTGCGCACATTGCCCAAACGACGCAACAACTCACTCTTGGCATCTTCGTCTGTGGCAACCGCCTCACTAACGCATTCAATAGCGTTTTCATAGCATTTACAGCTGGACAGCATTAAGTGTTCAATATTAGCCATTGGCGTGATCAATTCGATGATGTCGTCTAGCAAGCAAATTCAAGTATATATATAGGGTGAAAGTATATATTTACAATTTTCTTAACTACTTACCACCATTCAGGTCTTTAACTAACTCATTATTGATATTTTGTGCTATTTCCGAAACTTCGTTGAATTGCGCAAGATAACTGTCAATGTCCTGCCAATTCTTAGCCATTTGGAAGAAACAATCGCCGGCGCGTCCCAGCAAGCAGCTCTTTTGCGAAACTATATCGGACATGTATTTCAACACCACCTGCTGACAGCGGCAGGCCATATAAATAGCCTTTAAGCAACTACCATACATCTTCTCTACATAATGGTATTCCGCGTAGGTGGCGTAGGTGAGACAAGCCTTCTCCAGCAACAGCAACTTCAAGTGCACATTCCAAGAGCCGAAATTTTGTGTATTAAACTTCGTTGCAATGCGTTTGTCTTCGGCTTGTGGCTGTGTTGGCGCTTGATTGGCGTCCACTTTTACGTTTTGGCTTTCTTTCAACTCTTTGCCCTTATTGCGCTTCGCTTTTGATTTTTTAGTTTTCTTCTCCTTCTCACTTTGCACCGAATGGCTGTCGTCCGCAGCTTCGTCAACCGAATTTTTGTTTGCTTCAGCTTCACCATTTAACAGCTGCTTGCTTAGACTCTCGTAAGGTAGCGGTATGGGTTTGAAGGGTTTCGCCATATTCGGATGCTGTTCCTCATGCAATATGCGCTGTTTTTCTTCATCCTTGGCGCGCACTTCACTTTCTTTGATAAACTTCTCTTCACTAGTATTGAAAAATTTCAAACATGCAATGCCGGCGCTTATATGCTCCAATGATATGCGACAACGTTCCTCTGTGCCAGCCTGCAGTGGCGATGGCGCACGCGGCACACGTTTACCATTTTTAATTTGTGCATCCAGATTTAATTCTTTGAGCGTATCGCAAATTTGTTTCATTGCCACATTGTCGCTGTGTTCGACATTTTCACTGAGCTCATTGTGCGTGTCATTCAAATTGAAATCATCATCAGTAATCGAATCACCATCTTCATCCTCTTCGTAAACAGATTGCGTATCGGAATCCATATCGGTGTTATCAAATTTAGGGGCTTTGGGGTCAATGCCGGCCGGCACGTGCAAATCGGAGAGTATATAGTGAGATGATGTTACGATTTGTGGATATTTCTCCTTGGACAGCAGCTTTATGCAATTATCGAGCAAAGCTTTTATGCTACCCGCCATCTTTGGTGTTATCTGTGTCGCCGTATTCTTCATATTGCGCGCCACTGTGTACAGCAGCATGGCTACAGGCACAGTGAAGGGATTTTCCTGCTTTTCATCACACCTATTAGCTTCGGAGTCTTTTTGGCAGAGTGTTGTGAGATCATAGAGTTTTACAACATCATCGTTGCGACCTTTAAACAGCCAATAAGTATGTCCAGCTTTGGTCGCGTTCGCCTTCAAGAATGCCAGTATATTTTGTGCGACATTGCGCACTACTTGTGGGGAAAACTGTGAATTCTCGAGGTAAGGTAGATCTTCCGTTTTTATTATTTCGTATTTCTGCACAATACCATCCAGGTGATAACACATGACTACCTCCGGCACGTTACACATTAAGTTGTCCAGCCAGTAATCAATACCGGTCAGTACATTGATCGGTTTAGCCATATCACGCAACCTTAAACTAATACATGGGCGATTGGGTCCACCGAAAATCGGCATATCAGTGCCGATGAGCATTCGTATATCTTCAAATGTCCAGAGCACATTGCGATTGAAGACATGACTCGATTTGGGATCTGGCACATTCTCCTCTACTTTCGGTTCAGGTAATACTGGACCGGTAATGGGTAAAACGGGTCGTGAGCGTTGTGCCTCTTGTTCAGGTTCCTCAACACCCGATTGCTTTAAGCTGTAATAGAGGAATTTCGAGAGCAAGTTTTTCGTTTGTAATGCCTCGCGTGATTTGTCTTTGAGACAGAAGCTATGATCCTTTTCACCATATGCCATAATATGCTCTAATATAAAGGTACGTAACCATTTCCAATCATCATCGGCTTTACGTAGCAAGTACTTCTGTATGTCAAACTCATCCAATAATAATGTGTTGCCCACCTTATGCACAATCATGCTGATGGCGCTTTTCGATGTATAGGGCATCTTCAAAAGCCGTTTTATGTTTTCTGCATCCGTCACAACATCCACCTCGCCCACACAGTCGGGAAACATGTGGGCAATGCTGAAACTGAATAATACATACACAAAAAAAAGTTACTATTGGGTACGGAAAGGGAATTAGAATAACTGAAGTAACAGAAAAAAAGTTTATTTCATTTGGTTTTACTTCCCTAGTCCACCTTTTTTTTAAATATTAAAAATAAAGTATTATGATCGAAAGCTTTAAATATTTTCGAATATTTTTACATTTTTAGACAATAATCAAAGCAGGAATACAAAACTACTTAAGAAGTTTGGTCTATACAACATTAAGGGGAGTTTTTTTTTAATGTAATAGCGTCATTAAAGTAAGGGAAAATTTGCCTCCACCACTCACACTCAGCCCAATCCGAAATTATTATAAAAAAAACACTGCCAAATTTTCAAATGACTCACCTAGCGAAACCGGGGGATTGGTAGAGTGCTTGATGTAGCCCACTGTTGTCTGACGTGGTCAACCAATTAGAAGGTGGCAAGTTCAAATTGGTGTTGCATTGTAGACGATTGAAGCTTACTGGCACCTGCACTGCGGAAAACTTAACCACTGCTTTGGACTTCACTTCCACCAGTTCATGCGGTCCGACATTCTGGCACAATTCAATCTGCAAAGAACGGATGTAGTTGTAACATCGGTTACCGCTTACTTTGTATTTCTCACCTCTTCTCCACTGTCAGTCATATTGTACAATATTTATTTTCATACCAATGTTGAAATAAAATCTATTGAATGTTTTATAATTAATTTTGTTTAGTTTTCAGCTTAAGAACGTTCTATCAGATGTTTATTCTCTTCTAACTTCGATTCGTTTCCAGAAGAAGCACATGTTAAAGGAAATTGGTACAATATTTACGAATAGGAGATGAGGAAATTGGGTAGCGTGCTTAGCCAATGGTGTTTCTCTATCAAGAAATGTTATAGGGATGAAAATACAAGTGAACACGACAATTAATAGGAAACCAGTCAACTTATATCATTAAATCGCGGCGCAGAAGACTTATCGTTACGCCAAATTTTTCCGAATAGGTGTGAAGGTTTCTAAAAGAAATATCTCCAAGTACCAGTTCACAGACGGACACTTTTGTCGCCCAAACCGGTTTTTTGTGGGCGAGGGGACGACGAGGATAAACGAAGAGACCGTGCCGGGTGGCACGCTTTGTGCTCTTGTTTGTAACAGTTCGCTGCTTTCCAATTGTACATTCCTTTGCAATTTGAAATTATTTTCATTGTTGCAACAGCGCTCGATTTCAAATATATATATACCATATGTTCCGAAATTTTAATTTCGATACCTAGTTTTTGTATGTAATATATATAGAATAATAGAAATATTTTGAAAAATTGTGAATAAGGACAAATTTAAGATACTTAAAAATGTTCGATTTAATTTTTTCAAAACATTTAGCAGTAATTAATGTAATAATATATTGTATATTGTATATTGTACATATGTATATAAACTAATTCTAAAAAAACAGAGTTACTTTTACTTTTTCATATATACATAATATATTAAGATGCTTTCATATTTATTTCTTTTAACCGCAAAGGATTTAATTCGAATATCATTTTATATATTTTTTAAAAGCAGAAATATAATTAATTCCTGAATGTTTTTTATAAAAAAAAAATTGGAGTAACAAAATTACGTGTTTTTAAAAATTCCCGATAGATTAAAAAATTCCTGTCATACATTTTGCCTTGAAAATGTTATTAGCGGGTATGTATACATTCTGATGGATTAGGGATTTTTTTATCTTTTTTTCAGCCTAGAAATAAATTTATCGCATCAACATTTCTTTAAAATTCTACAATTTGAAATAGTTGTGCATAAAAAAATTGTTTTATTAAAAAAACCAAACGTGCATATCGGATAACAGTAACAGTAATTTATCGATAACTTGAAAGGCAATGATCAGTATGCCAACAACACTTTTGAATAATCGACTGAACTTTGATTTCTCTTTTTGGGTTCGAATAAACTTCGAAATTTTCATAGCAACTTATTTGTGCATAGCGCATTTAACAAAAAGGTTTAGTGGAATTTATAGAAATTGCGGTTGACAGTGAATGTAACTTGACCAATATTTGCATTCCGTATATCAATAAGACTGGTATATTAATTTGCATAATGGATGTAAGTTGAAGCGTACAAAATACGTATATTACAACATACTTATTTCTGTATTCATAATACTAAGGTGCAATTTAAATTTTAATTAAAAAAAACCTAGATTGAAATATTGTCAACAACTGGCACCAAATCTTTTGGAAGATGTCAAGTTCCGGCCAATACTACTGTTGGGGACTTACGTTATATCATACATAAACAATACCGTAGCACACCGGCACCGGAGCGACAGTCCTTACGATTGGAGCCGCGTGGCAAAGCTCTGAAGGAAACGGATACATTGGAGGCGGCTAATTTAGGAAAGTCGAGCAAGATCTACATTAAAGATCTCGGTCCACAAATTGGATGGAAGACTGTATTTTTAGCTGAGTACGCTGGTCCGCTTTTTGTATATCTTATCTTCTATGGACGCCCAAGTTTCATCTATGGTGAAGCAGCAGATACACCAATTTCATTAACAGCACAGTAAGTTTGTCAATGTTGAACTTTCCCCTGGTGAGCTCTAGTAGCTGTCATTAGTGCAGCACAACACATAAAATTGAAAAGCAAACATAGCAACAATGCAGACAACAACAAAAGCGGCGACCCAGTTTAACCTTTTAAATTTTTTATGTTTTGCTGTGTTATGTCTTCGCCGCGGTCGAACGGCAGTCGCTGCGTGTTTCGAAAGCGCTCATCAATTTTTGCATTAATTATAAATCGCTATTATACTTTGCAAACTTTAAGAAATTGCATAAATTGTATAATTTTATTTCTTTTTACAGTATCGCTGCTGGCTGCTACATTGTACATTATGTGAAACGAATTTTGGAGACTATTTTTGTACATCGTTTCTCGCATGCTACTATGCCCATTCGTAATCTGTTCAAAAATTGCAGCTACTATTGGGGATTCACCGCATATGTTTCCTACCACGTTAATCACCCATTGTTCACCAGCCCTTGTTGTCTTCAAGTCTGGGGTTCTTTAGCTGCTTTCGCGGTATATTTATAAAAAAATATATATACAAATATGTCGATAAATTAATAAAACCATTTTTTCCCCCACTTTAGATATGCGAATTAGGCAACTTTTCAGTACACATTGCTCTTCGCAACTTGCGTCCTCCCGGCACAAAGGTGCGCCGAATTCCAGTACCTGATAGCAATCCCTTCACAAAATTATTCAAGTAAGTTTATCCACCCTTATTGTTAACTTTAACTTTACTAAAATGGTCCCACTTTCAGTATGGTCTCCTGTCCGAACTACACATATGAGATTGGTTCTTGGGTAGCATTCTCTGTAATGACGCAATGTCTACCAGCATTGCTTTTTGCATTTGCTGGCGCTTATCAAATGACGATTTGGGCCTTGGGAAAACACCGCAACTACAAAAAGGAGTTTAAAGACTACCCCAGAGGTCGTCGTGCCATCTTTCCGTTTGTGCTTTAAATTCCTGACAGTAAAGATTATTGCAAATTTTAAAATTATGTTATGATAACATAAAACATTTCCATTGCAATATACTTATTGCATTCAATTTTCTATATAACATTTGAACAAACTAATATTTAATTGTCGAAGGTGTTAGATTTATTCTCCCGGTGTAGTCGGTGTATATTCATACAAGCAAATAAGTATGTCATACATGTGCGTAATCAATTGATAACAACTAATAAAATGTAGCGGTTTTGTGAAAGAAAGTTGTTTGATATTTTAAATGCCACCGCATGACAATTGAAGTCGGATTTCTGATTGCGATTGATGATAAGAATCATTGCTATAAATAAAATGTTTCTCAAATATTCTGGATTCTGTATTCATAGCAACATGTTATGCTTCTTCACATATATGCTCTTGAATACACATTTGTGGCTCTTAACATATTTTATTATTGTTACCATTTAATGTTACTTGTTGTCATAATATATAATCAATATACAACAATTTATATTGCACCACTGTGCATAGCTGTCAAATTATCAAAACATATGGGTTTGAAGAAGTGATGGGACGGTACCACAAAGTTATCGATAAGTCAATAGAGCAAGTTTTTGATTTGCTGATACAACTATTCAAAGTTACCTGTTTTAAAAAATTCCTCCTGAGAAGAGGAAACGTATCGTAAAATGTTAACTAATATTTTTTACTGAAGCAGCAATACGTTATATATAGGTTGATTTTTCTACAAATTGTCAATGTAATTCAATTGAATTCAATTCGATACAACAAAAACATCTGACCATACAATTCTTGCATGCTTTACAGCAACAATTTGCACAGCAAAAAAAAAAAAATTAAAATAAGCTTTTCAGATTTGTTATGAAAAGGAGCGCAGTAGAAATGGAGCGTCTGACATATGAAACTGCCGTGAAAAAAGGTAATTACTTGTTGCACCATACCATAATCATTCGTTAATAAACTTTTCGCTAAATATGTGATAATTTCGCAGCGCAGTTGGTTGAACGGAACCCTCATCCAAATGGCGTGAATATATTGGATCCATTGCGTGTGTCTATGCATAATGAGGAAGACATCATTTCACTGGCAACGCAAATACAAAATGCGGATAAGCAGTTGAAAGTTGGAACATGCCAGAAGCTTTGTGTGATACTAGATCAGGTGAGATCGACAGATTTGCTTATAGTGAAACACTTCTTCTACATTTATATGTTCAAGATTAAAATGCTGCAAGCGCAAGCCATGGAAATACTAAAGGAGTCCGAAGAGAATCAATTATTGCACAATGCCGCTTGTAACTTCACAAAGAAACCCGGCCATGTTTATCATCTTTATCAACGTCAATCCGGCCAGAGCTATTTCAGTATGCTTTCGCCAGAAGTAAGTGGAGATGTATATACCATATATAAAATAATATTAATTTGCTAATTTCTAAATTTTGTGCCCAGGAATGGAGCGGCAGTGTCGATCAGAAATATCTTGGCAGCTACAGATTAGAATTTGATTTATCATGGACATCGTTGGATAAAATGAAGGAGCGTGATGAGAAGATGAAGTGGGCTGAGAAATGTTTGGCAACAACCTCATTAGCTGCAGCTCCAATACCAATGGCCATTGATTTTGGTAATGATAAATAAACAACTAAGTGCTTTAGAAAAATTTGGTGTGTAATAAAAATTCTAACTCTAAGCTTGAAAATAAAAGATATTGTTATTGTGAGACGTGTTATCATCACATAATTTATTTAAAAGATAAGTCTATCGCTATTGTTATATTAAAACTAAAGCTTTCTTAAATGCTTATCTCTAAAATTATTTTGTACATACATATGGATGTATGTATACATGTATATGATTCCTAGTTCTGTATAAAATTTCTATTCCATCTTCTTGCGCTTAGACAATGTTGGCCGATCAAACACTTGCTTCATACCACCGGCTTTCTCATTATGGAATTTGATATTATTTGAAGTCTCAGCGTACCACGGCGAATCGAATTTCGTTGTATCTTGATCCACTAAATGCGTATATTTGGTACGACCACAACGACCGAAGTTCTTCACCTGCATCACTTTAGGCAGGATAGTTTTGTCGAAGTGATCTTCCAGTGTGGCTTGAGCAAAGTCACGTTTCAGCACATCATTTTCTTCGTCCAAGTAGAAAGCACCACGATGATAGTACTTTTGCAAAAATTTATATTTTCCTTTGGCAGCTTTGTTAGTGATAACCTTAGGATTGTTACGGAGTTCCTGGCGACGTTCTTCTTCAGTTAAGTTACGCATACGATCAATTTCGAATTTTTCACGTTCAGCACTGTGAGTTATAAAAGGAATTGGTTTATAAAAATATCAAAACAGACATCATATTAATATCACATACTTTTCGCGTTCCTCGCGATCACGTTTTACACGTTTCAACTCACGCAATTTCCACGCTTCATATTCAACTTCATCGTTTTCATCATCTGTGCACACATCATCGATGCTGGCTTCCGCGGTGTCAGGCTGTAAGAAAAAATAATTGATTATGAATACGTAATTTTAAGAACAGCAAATTATTACTTTACCTTAGCCTTTTCCAAATCCTTCTTCACGCTTTCCTCTACCAAGCGCAATGTAGCGCGTCTACGTTCCTTTGCTGACCGTTTAGCCTCGGCCTCTAGTTGCTTTTGCTTTTGTGCTTCACGTTCCTTTTCCTGTATAGTGGCGCGTTCACGTTTGCGCACAAAAAGCGGTTTCAAGCGCGGTTCGTTATCTTCCTCACTCTCGGTCTCTTCTTCATATTCAGAACTTTCGGTCTCTGAGGATTCAGATTTATTTTCCTCTTCTTTTTGCAAAATCTACATATAGAAATTATATTTTATATAGCGGGTTACACATATGTATGTATGCATCTACGAATTTTCTTACCTCTTCTTCCTTCTGCTGTTGCAACATGCGATGTCGCAATTTGAGACGACGTTGTTCTAACTCATCCTCACTTACATCTGAGTCTGTGTCCGACTCAGAGGCGAGTGTAATTTTATTTGTCACCGTGCCTTCGGGTTTTTCTGGCTCACTTTCTTCTGATTCTGATTCCACAATCTCTGGTTCGTGTATGTGTCTATGCCTTTCACGACGCTCTCGTTCAAGTTCTTCCTGATCTTCTGGACGCGTTCTCAAACGTCGTAAACGTGGATCATCGACTTCTCCTTCATCAGCCGAATGAGCCTCGGCATGTTCACGCTGAGAGCGACGTTCAAGCTGTGCTTGCGCAGCACGTTTGCGATGATCTATGAAATCTTCCAAATCTGACTCATCGGAACTACTGCCTACTAGAGCGTAGTCAGGACGCTTTCCGGACACATAGCGCTGCACTTTCACCTTTTGCATAGATATTTCACCTGACAAATTATGAGTTGTTTATAGTTATTGGCTGAAATAATTAATATAATCCAATTGATATTACCTTTTTCATTGCGAACAGGCACGGCTCCGGCAGTGCTTTGAATAGCAGCAGATAACGTTGCGGAACTCATTTTATTAATGTGTTCACCGTTTATTTCTTTGATAAACGAAAAATTACACTCACACTAAAAAATCACTTTTCTTATATATTAAATTGTAAGTTGTACAAAATTATTTTGATAGTTTTAAGATCCTTCTCTCTGCGACGGGAACATTTGAATAAAGAAAACAGTATTTTTGACTCACTTTAATTATTTTTTTTTATCAGCTTTTCACTTATTTAATGAAATTGCATCCTGGAAAAATAATTGTATGAGAAGGTATTTTGTTGGTAAACATATGGTTTTGAAAAAGTAATAGCTCACGCATTTGTAATAGATCACAGGGTTGCATTTTTAGCACCGGGATGCTGCATTTGGAGATAATTTAAATTTAAAAAAATTAGTTACCAATTAAAAAAAAAGTTGAATTAAATTAATTTTCTGTTTTTTATTTTAACTGGATGAATTTTTTTATAATATTTAAAATTTTAAGACTGTATCGCGAAACCTTTGTGAATCGCTTAATGCTTGGTTGATTTTCTTCTCAAGTTTACGTGTTGTAGTATTATTAGATTTCACAGACTCCTAGATAGTCTCGGTGTCTCAGTGAGACTGTCTCTCATAGTCAAAACAAGTTTCAAAAAGATTATTCCGATTCCGACAATCCATCACCCTAAACTACTAATTGTTATATTTAGCCTTTCTTGCTTTCTTTCCTTTCCTTTACTAACTACCGTAAATACGACCAAAGTACAAGGACGTCATAACAAAAAAGCGTTGTTCGCTATATATAGATCGGTCTGCTCTACAAAAATGTTCTTTATAATTTTTCGATTAAATTAAGCGTTTACGAGATAAGCCGTCAAACATATATGAAAAAATTAATAATAATTAAATTAAAAAAAAAAAAGAAAATAATAGCAGAGAAGAAAAGAAAATTTTGGTATAAAGCTCATAAGGAAAAGAAAAAAATTTCAACCGTTATTATAACTATAGGTATATAATATAAGTAAGGCGGAGGACCTTTCCGTTACAAATAAGAGCTCATGCTTGGAGAGATTTTCTTAGAGATGCCTAAGAACCTATTTTTCAGAGTACCACTTGTTTTTTTGACCCACCATAATATATGTACAAAGTGCATAGTGAAAGCCATGCTACCCGGCAAGGAGAGCATAGAACTTCTTACTCAATAGTTTCTGCTCAGACATTTTTTCAAAGAAGAACAAAATCCCAGGTTCACCAAGCCGACCACATACGAGATCTTACAGGCCACATCTTAGACGCAACTATATTTAAACAGGTACGAAACGCCATGCGTAGAACTACATTCCTTCTTAAGTCTCTTCTACCCAATGGTGTTCTGGGAATGAAACTAAAATACACCGTATATGAAGATCTTGAATTGTGACAGATTAGAGTCGTACGTATGTAGACTTGATACCGATATATCCAACACATGTTTTGAATGCAATGAGACATTCAAGTCTAATATGGAAAGCTGAACGGAACCGGATGTGTATCCGGTAAAGTACATCAGCATTTAATCAAATAGTTAGGGAATGTTTTCAGCAGTTACAACAAAAACAAATTAAATTAAGTAGGATCTAGAACTGTTCAAGAATGCTTAGTTTTTTTTTTGTGGTCGTTCTTTTTAATAAAATATAGGTAACGAGGGGACTTTACAATAACAACCTATTCATGTTTACCTAAATTTCGAAGTGATAAACTTTAACGTCTTGTAGCATTGTGGCTGAGCCAATAATTAAAATTGACAAAGCATTGACCACACGCAACATAACAAAAAGGCTTGTATACGAGTAAGAATAGCGAGGCAATGAGGTTTTACCCGGTCATAACCGCCCATAACGACTTTTGTATGCTGATTAATGTTGAAGATGAATGGCGGTTAAAGCTTAAAGATATATACTACGAGTATATACATATAGTGCAGAGGTATATATATGGTACATAAGCATATATACCTACAGTTGTAGATCCATAATAAACAAAAAAATATTCTTCATGAAGATATAGTAAAAATTATGAAAAAACACATACATACATACTTTTCGTAATTATGCTCTATAATATCCTTCAAAGAGGCCTAGTAAAATATTTATTAATTAATAAAGCAACAACAACAAGTTCATTACTATACTCGTAATGAAAGTTAGAAAGAGGCGGTCAATGAGAAAGGCATAAACGGCGATCGTCGGCAGCATGTGAATGCCTTCGTATTCATTTATTTATTTATTTTATGTTCTTTTCTAACATTTTTCATTAATTTATTGTTAATTAATTGATGATACATTTGTTTATTTCACTTTTTGACACCGAACCAAAACACAAGCCTGCAGTTGTATTTCCTTTTTTGGGATGAGTAAGCGTCGACAATTGCTATATTTACTATATTTCATTCATGAAATCGATCGGTTCAGATGATAGCGATCCATTTCTTTATGGCACTCGCGTTAATCTTTTCTTTCTTTTATATATTTCCCTTATTTATAGTCCCCTTTGTAATTTAGTAATTAAGCTATTTGCAATATGTAACGGCTTATCTTAATCGAATATGTAACTACATACTTGTATATAAGTATACCATATTCATATGTAATTAACTGTAGACAATTAATTTATATTAGACTTTCTTTATTGGGAAATTTGCACAGGGAATGTGTTTGCAGATCGGCTAGAAATTGCGCTGCAAAATAATTATTGATATTTAAAGCATTTTCACAAATATATACATGCATATATGATCAAATTTAATGCGGACTGACAAAGATAACTACATTTTAATATTTTACATGTTCATTTTAATACAAATCTTTATTATCGCCTTCAAAAAGGCTCCAATACAAGCGTACCAAAGCTCCATCTAATTTTCAATACACTTTTTAAAAGCCTTTTTCGGTTTTGGTTAATTTTTGGAGCGCCATTCATTGGGTTGTTGGACATTTTCGTCGTCATATTCATAAAACACGTCTTTTCACCAGTACTGATTCGTTTCATCAATGGAGGGTCCTCAGCTAAATTGCAAAGTAACTCTTTTGAGAATCGACGTCGTTTTTACAAAATATTGAGACTTTTTGATACGAGTCTAGCAGTAACACGCTTCATACCCAAAACATTCACCAAAATATGTTGAGGCGATCCTTAAGATTGGAACTAAAAATTTCCAGCAAAATCGTTGTTCAATTTCGTTTCAATTTTAAAAATCGCCGATCAAACTATTCGCCTCGTACAACAAATAGTTGCCAACCACACGCAAATTAATATATGGAGATCAAACTTCACACGAACAAGTAGAAAAAAAGAATTATCGATAAAAGGACCAGTGCGTGGCATTTATGATCAGATGTTATAAACTTTATATATTGATTAACAAGTTCTGTAAAATTTGCTTGAGAAAACAGAAAACAAATGTTAAGAATTTTTATTTAAATAAGTTTTGAAGACAGTCATTGACCGGATATAAATTAAGGACCGCTCCGGTTACGTAATTCCTATTGTCGTGTGAACTCTATCGCTTTCTTTTATATAACTTGGCTTACAAAAAACAAGGCGGACTTAAGCAAAAATATAATTGGGTTCTCATGGGATAATGTTTGTCTTCGCTGCTTCTAAAAATGTATTGTAGTACCGATTATTACTCAATAATAATTTTTCAGAAATAATCAATAAGTTGTCAATAGGTCGGTCAAAATGCTCCAGACATGAAAATCATCAATGAAATAAAAACGGCTTATTCTCGACTAACTCTATAACTTCATTACAGATCTCGGCTATACCCCCATTGACACGCCAATCGATTCTTTGTTTCAAAACTTAACGCCTATTAATAATATCCAGTGAATCCAAGTCGTAAGAACTATATTACAAAAAAACCGATGAGAGAGCGTTTGTTTTGTTCCTAGAGAAATTAGTTCAATTACTTACCTACTGAGATCGCAGTAGTAGTTATTAATAAAATAATTCTTACGTTTGCTTTGAAGGTTGTTTCCGATAGTTGACTTTAAGAAGACTGAAATTACCTTCATTGTCAATATTTTGACTTTCGAATGTGTTGTAGGAGTTTACTGAGAAATGTTTTTTTTAAGATTTGGCGGAAAGAGAATATCTGGTCAATTGCCTACTAATCAGGTCCATTGCCACATTGATAAAGTCTAATCACTTTGAGGACTGTAAAGCTAAATCTTTCACACAAGTATCCACATGGTCTATCAAAATATGCTCACATGTGATATTTAGTAGGTGGAGAGATGACCCAGCCATATTGTATACATGTTCTCGTCAATTACTTGCTACCGTTTTTAAATGTTTTGTCACTTAGGCCAAGACGCTGCTAGAGCTTGCTAGAGATTTGTTCTTGTTCTATCGCTTTATTGCTTTTCGTTCTTTCAAAAATTTCAGTAATTAAATATTGATTCAATCGCCTTCTATTGAGAGTTCTTGCTATTAGTCTTGTCCATATACTTCAACGACATCCCTGGACATCAGGAAACCAAGTTCTTATTGATTTTAACAGATATTCGATTCGTTACGTTATTTGAAAACTTTTTACAGTCATCGTAACTCCTCATACAATTTTTCCAACACTTCTCTCAGTCATTAAAAGAAGTTTTGCGATCTTGGTTTCCTTCATTCCACATATGTATACATATTCGTATATCCTTTTCACATTTTAGCCGTAGCTCTTTCTGATACTCAAAGGAACTCTTTTAAGAAAAATTGCGCAGATATTTCCTGTTTGAAGTACTTGTCATCGTATGCTTTGAAAGATTTAAACGAAGGTGGTGTCTCGTCTAATAACATATTATTAATGAAATTAAATTTAATCACTAAAGTCAGTGCTTGAGCACGAGTGACTTCGAACATGTTTCGAAAGACTTATTATATATTATAATACTGAATCGAGTCGCTTAGGAGTTGAACTGAATTAACTGTATTTTGAACAATATGGCATAGGCTTGGGTGATCCTTTTAATGACTTGAAATGCCCCGAATTTATTTAAAAGATGCAAAAAGGCATCAACAGATTGAGAGCTCCTGGCTATTAAGTGATACGTATCTTATAATGAATAAAACTAAGATATCATTATTTTGTGAGTGATAAATCTTAAATCTTATATGAGTATATGTATCTATACTTGAATTTTTCCTAATTTTAAAATATATGATCATGATCATGTCTCGTCTAATGCCAGTTTTATAAAAAAATTTAATTTAACTACATATTCATATGTATGTGGGCATAATTTATTACAACTCATGATCTTTTATAAAATTAATCTTCATAACATCATTTCTCTCAATGACAGCTTTTAAATTCGCCATTTTTAAACTTATTCACTGCAGGTAAAAATGTGGCCAAACTTACATAAACAATTCCGATAATTAGAAATGCACGTGTACTATGCCTGTTAGATCTTATTATAAATCTGCAAAAACTTAATTATACTTGAAATGCGCAAAACAAATATTCGATGTAAATGCTATCAATCAAAAAGCACCGAAAAGCAGGTTTGTAACATAAAAAATTCTTGTATTACATTAAACATTCCCATTCGCGTTCTTTTTGTTAGTGATTTCACGTGCTGTCACAGTAGCTCGCCAGACGTTGCCTCTTTCTATCACTTCTTTTCCATATAAAATGTGCGTGATCTCCTAATGATTATTTAATTTGTGAAATATTCAAACTGGCGTGGCAAGATATTTGAAAAAATCGCTAATTATTGATCATCGAAAGTAAAAATGACTATTTACATATGTACATAAATACGAATAGATCAACAAACAGCGTTAACTCGTTTATTGAAACGTCACAGCACTTGAGTTGAGAACCCTAACGCGATAATCGCCCGGCAGCAGGTAAGTCGAATGACTAGATGAAAACAAAATCGATTAGTGACGTCGTTAAACTAGTCACGCTGATTAGAGTTAAAGTGATTTACATATAGTGTATACATACATTTGTATATATACTATGTTAGAAGGTAGTAAGTCGATGTAACAGTTTGCTGCTTTGAGCCGCTTAGAAGCGGTTTGAAACCAGTGAGCACATTGTCAGCTTATAATAACTATGTAATGTAACTGCATATTTGTTTACATTAGAGCTTAATTTACATATCCACATAATCGAGTAACTTTACCTTTGATTAATTAAAAATCCGAAATCTTTAGCGACCTGCAATGGAGATTATCTCTAAGAAGCTATGATGTGGTGAGTCCCCTTTTCAAAAATTTGGGAATGTACAAGTAAATATATGAACATATGTACTGATATATTTGCGATAAACATACATTTGTCACTCATTAAAGTTAATATGCTGAAAATGTGTTCATTATGCTGCGTAATAGAAAGGTTTTGTTGTCGTTAGGGTTTCCTACGAGACGTTTTTTAAATTTATTGAGTAGACATACATATAATGTTTCATACCTAATAAGTTTTGCCAATATTTCGCAGTTATTTAACATTGCCAATTATCATTAATTCTTCAGTTCTCAGCATTGACATTATTACCACTGCTTTCCTAACTTACACTGACAGAACGTTAGTTATATTCGTACATTTTATTCCTATTGTCTTCATTATAGGTTTTTACTGCTCTGCCTTAGTTACTACTGAAAAATAATATTGATTAATTTTAACTTTATGCTCGAAAAAATAGTCTTCAAAGTAAAGTAGCTAAAATTAATCTATATTAAAGGAAGGTGCCAAAGGCTATTCGCAATGCCTTTCCTCTTTTTTTCTCTAACAACCGATATACCTATTTATGCAGACACTTCAGCGTAGAAACATAGCGAAGAGTCAAACAAGCAAGAAAGTATATAACGTAAAAAGCTAGATTTGGTCTAACAAGCAGAAAAAGTAGAGTTTGGTCTTTCTAACCTGGCCGTAGATTGAGGTTGATTCAAATAGTTGATCTATAAAGCTAACAAAGGAAGGTGTTGGAAATATCGTTCACGAAAATTTGTTTATCCTAAAGCTCTGTGCAGAGTGGTCGCCGAGAGACCAATTTATTGTGAAACGAATAAATGAAAACGTTTACAAAATTGCATCCAGGTCCAAACTTTATCCTGTTTTAAATCTCAAGATAAGAGTCGCTGTTTAAAAATCGTCTAGACTGAAACATATTTTTAAGCAAAAGACAAATGTTACTAAAACATTGGTCTCGAAAAATATGGAATGTTGCTATGATCTGTTTATCGGCAATTATATTGAATAATAAAATAGAATTTTGCTAATCAAATGTTCTCCTGATTGAATGAAAATTTAGATTAGATTAGATTAGTTTCGAGGTATGCACCGCGACCTATGGTCTATTGTGCCCTCCCCTAAGTCATATCGTATCATCTAGGCCCAGCATGTTGATAAATTCCAAAATTCTGCTGGGTGCTAGTGAGGCGATACGATCCCTGTGTGGAAACATGGATCCCAGGGCCTTGATTCTGCGTCTGCAGACTGCTGTGCAGTTCATCAGCAGATGTTCAGGGGTTTCCGGCTCTATGTCGCAGAACCGGCAGTTTGCAGAAGAGGCTATGCCCATGTTAAAGAGGTGCTTCTTGAGCCTGCAATGGCCGGTGTAGAACGCTGCCAGTAGCCGGAATTTGTTTCTGGGGAGATTAATTATGGCTTTAAACCGCTTGAGGTCGTAACCCCCCAATAGCAGTCTGGCATGGTGCATGCCCTGAAGTTGTTGCCAATGTATCTCCCTGCTTGCTCTTTCCTCCCTTCGGAGGAGCTCTTTGATGGTATGAGGACCAACCGCTATGTATGGTTCCGGCCCTACCATTTTTGTAGAGGCTGCAGAGCGGGCTAATTCGTCAGCTAGTTCGTTCCCAGCTATACCCCTATGGCCAGGCACCCAAATAAGGTGTACTCGGTTTTGCTTAGATAGGCTGTTCAGCCGTTCTATACACTCCATCACTAGGAGAGATCTGACCTCATAGGCTGAGATCGCTCTTAGTGCCGCCTGACTATCGCTGAGTATAGCGATACTCTTATTGCGATAGTTGCGTTGGAGGTTTATCCCTACACACCGACTTATAGCATAGACCTCAGCTTGGAAAATGCTTGGGAAACTTCCCATGGGAATGGAGAGTTTGGTGCTTGGCCCAGCGACCCCTGCACCAATCCCCTCCTCCGTTTTCGACCCGTCGGTGTACCACTTGATGGTGCTACCCCTTAGCAGCCGGTCCAGTGAAGAGTCATTCCACTCAGATTTGCTGCCAAGGGTTACTTGAAACTTTCTGCTGAAGTTTACTACTTTGGTAATGCTATCCCTTGGGAGAAGGGCTAGTGGTATTTCCTCACTTAGCTCTTTCATCTGTTGGGATGAGATTACCTTCCCTTTGCCAGCTCCCTCTGCTGTCATTTGGAGCAGAGTTCGTTTGGCAGTCTGTTTGATTACCAGGTGTAGCGGTGAAAGTTCTAGCATGACTTCCAGTGCTGCGGTCGGACACGTTCGCATTGCTCCCGACGCGCAGATGCAGGCAAGTCTTTGCAGCTTCGACAGTTTAAGTCCTACCGAAGTCTGCGATGCTCTCGAACCCCACGATACCGCTCCATACGTGATAATCGGTCTCACGAATGAAAATTTACAAAGGTTTTAGTAAAGATTTTCATTATTTCTTAATTATCACAGCGCTATTCAGGGTTTTCATGTAGTAAGTGCTTATTATTTTCAATTCATGCTAATTGACTTAACGCAATTCAACCATCCATCGGATCTATAGTTCTATTTACATTTAGTTTTATGCTCTCATAATTTTTAACAGTTAGTATTTAATTAGTTAGCATCATATTAACTTAATATGAGTACCCCTCATTTCGTGTAACGGCGCGTTAAATGATATAACATTTTGTGGACTCTTCTTTTCGTGTAATTTTTTGGTTGTAAATAAAATTGTAAGGGCATTACGAAATAGATGCAAATGCATTTTATTAATAGTATGGTAGTTGTTAGTAAAATTATTATTGAACAATTGAAATGAGTCAAGGTTAACAAATAAAGTTGATAGGTTCTCCAAATTTTTTGAATAAACACAAATATTTACTTCAATAATGCATATTTTCAAAAAAAAAAAGTCCAAATATATAGAATAGATTTATCGTAGTAGAACTGGGTCGAAAATTTTAAGAAAGTAAAAATGTATTGTAGGAAGAAATCCATTGGAAAAGGAAGATAAAATAATATAAATGAATAGAAAAATAATTTGTCGTTGATGTGTGGTCGGGAAGAAGAACAGAGTATGGTTTAATAGTTTTGTTATTTATCTGGTTATAATTGGGGATTAAGATCACAAACGAGTATACATATTCTCTTAATTTCATCTCACAAAAAACATATTTATATATTGTACATATGCATTAAATTCTTAATTAATTGATCGTTAATTCTCTTTCTCTACGTACAAATTCTTGAGCATTATACTCTTTAAGATCCTAGTGAAAAAAAGTTATGTTATTGTATCCACGCAGAGTTTTCTAGCCGATTAGTTTGTCGACACGCAATTTTATGCTACGAGAGTCATATGCGCGCCTCGGCTCATGTAAACAAGATCGCACAACAATTGAAAGAACGACAAAGCTGATAAACTTTTAGCGTAGTCTACGTTGTCCATTTATGAAGTCGAACACATGTCAAGCGAAATGGTCATAAAATTAATTATTTCATTTATTAAATGATACTTTTCCATATGAGTACTACGGCAAGATCCCATGGTGCTGCTTCCCAGGCGGGCGGCGATCTTTCCTGTCTTTTTATGAAAATGGTTTTGTTTTTGGCTTAAGAAGTATTATTGATACTTAATTTAATATTTTTATAAAAATAGAAAAAAAATATTTTAATTATATAAATTAATCTCCTAGTCCTATTTGATTGCTATTTCAAGTCCATTTTAAATCTTACTAAATAATTACAATTTACATGCATACATACGACGGCGGTCCGATAATGACTTAGCTCCAACTCTCGATAGCGATACTACCGCAAGAGAGATTTACTATCATGTATTATATTCGTAAACAATTACAGTGGAGTCGGATTGTAGTTTTATTTGACCACGGGTAGAAGATACGCTCACGCGGATTTTCGAAAACTCAAAACGATTGCCATATATCGCTTAGTGATTCGATTCCTGCCTTTGAAATATGTTTTTGGAATTAACGAGCTTAACGCGTGTCGGCTTTTGATGAGCCACCCCTGGTGTCGCGAAAATGAATACTCGGAGGATAACAATTCAAGTGCAATCCGAAGCAGTTTTGGTATCGTTTCGTGATCGCTGAAGTAACATACTTGTAGATACGGGTATACACAATAGTCCACGGCACAGCGCAATTCAACCAGCAAAATTGCTTTAAAGATAGCTAAGATTAGCCTAACGGTGAGAAAAGAAATACAACTGTTCTGTGGGATTTACAAGATTTAATCTACATTGAGTAACTGGAGAAGGGCAAATCGGTTATTTGGCTCTAATACGCGAAATTGCCTTCTACTTTGACAACGCACCGTTTTGATCAAACGTATCGAGCAAAAGGAGACTACAATGAAAATAAGGCGCCATTATTACAAAATTTTGTTTGTCTTTTGTAGGCTAAATATTTGTTGCACCACATCTATATATAATATACTCGTATATACAAGTATTTCAAGTACCTTCCCAGCCTTAGACTAGGTTTATAAGTACTCGTACGACAACAATCTGCCAAAACTTACACATTAAGCAACGAATAATACAACATTTAATTTCTAATTGTTTATTATTTGTATATTCAACTACCACCAACAAAGCTTCACAGCCATCGCAAGAAACGCTTCAATAGCTTCAAGCTTCGCGCTTATTTAAACTTACGACTGCGCCTAGCTGTTGCCACTTGTTAGTTTGTATGAACAAATGAGCGACCGGCACGGCACTTCAGCCCTTCGTGCATCTCTCTCGTCGCTGCATACGCTCTAGACACACACATTTGTACATGAAGATATAGAAAAATTTGTCTGCGTGCTTGCGATAAGATTGTCGTTAGGCTCCAGTGTGCAGTCTCTTATTTTCCTAAATATTAATTTGATATTGAATTTTTGTGGTTTTATTTTGTTTTGCACTTTGTTTGGGTGTTTATCAAAGCACTAAGTTCGGTTATGAAATGCGAAATTTATGACGGTATATACTATATTAATTCGATAAAAAACACGAAACAAATTTCAGAAGATTTTACGGAAGAGTAGTCTGTTTGAATATTCCATCTGATTCTTTCACTTTCCACTATGCAAATCAGGCAACAATGACTGTATCGGGATAAAACTTTGCGTGAATAATACGTTTAAAGTATCCCACCTTGTGGCCAAAAATTGTCTAAATCGAACCAAAACTAGTCAAGCCCCTA